TATCAGGTGTAAAGGGGGAGAGGGCTGGTTTCACTTACTGTACCTCTTCCAGTGATCGGGACAGGCTCTCCAACGGGCCCAGTGTATTAGTAATTATTTTCCCCTTAAATTATTCACGGAAATAGAACCACTTACGGGAACGCTATGGTTTGAAAAGAAAGAACTCAAGACCATGGACAACGTTCAAGATAACAGTCGTAGTTATGGTTATACTCTGTCATCAGGAACTTTTAAACTGAGCTTAATCAAATCTCGTTTAAAATTTATCGTATAAATTAAAAATTTGTCGGATACGTTTTCTGCTCAAAATGGTTTGAAAGAAAGACATGTTTACCACCATTCCTTTTTTTAACTTTGCTTTATAATACGACTCCGGTCAATAAAACCGAGATTAACAGCCATAGGAATCCTTTGCGCTGACCACGTGATACCCTCTATCCGCAAAAACTTCCCTGGTAAGCAGTGGTCGCTCGGTCGGTATAGTTCACTTTCGGTCTAAACGGATTTTTTTTTATAATACGATATTATGATGGTCTAAGGAAACTAGGAGGGATTGGAACTGAATTTGACGCTATCGACTTTGGTGTGTGCTGATGGTGTTAATCAATTTGTTGATAATACAGATCTTCTTGTTGTTTGGCACAAAAGACCAAACCGATCCAAGGCCTCCCGTTTTTCAGGTTTCGTAATAAAATGGATAAATATCGTAAACAAAATCCAGATTCTATCTCATAATCTTGCAAGGAGGTTTATGAAGAAGAAAATGCTGAGGAAAAAGAAAACAAATATTTGTGTCTCCCCGCCAAAATGCAGGACACGACCGTAAGTAAAGACAGTCAATAGATTATTAGATTAGATTATGTGCTGATGGTGTTAATCAATTTGTTGATAATACAGATCTTCTTGTTGTTTGGCACAAAAGACCAAACCGATCCAAGGCCTCCCGTTTTTCAGGTTTCGTAATAAAATGGATAAATATCGTAAACAAAATCCAGATTCTATCTCATAATCTTGCAAGGAGGTTTATGAAGAAGAAAATGCTGAGGAAAAAAAACAAATATTTGTGTCTCCCCGCCAAAATGCAGGACACGACCGTAACGTAAAGACATTAAATAGATTATTTCAAAATTCTGCATACTTTAGGTACCTGCAAACTGCACTAAGGTTACAAAATAGCATTCATGAATAAATTAAGAGCACCACGGTACCATTGGGTTCAGAACCGTTGTCTTCGTCTCCTATCTAAAAATGTAAAGACTGAAGTATACAAAATTATAATTTTGCCTGTTGCTTTTTACGGACGAGAATTTTATTTTTTCATTAACGAAAGAAGATAAACTGGGATTATGTGCGAACAGTCTGCTGATGGTAGTATTTGAACCTGAGAGGAAAGAATAAATAGGAATCCGAAGAAGACTGAATAACGCGAAGCTTAATTAATATTCTCCACCGAATATTATCAGGATGATTAATAAAGGACAATGCGATAAGCAGGGAACGTAGCACACAAGGTAGAGAATTTAATTAAAAGCTCTGGTAGGAAACCTAGATGGAAGGAAACTTCTTGGAAAACCTAGAAGTAGATGGGGAAAGATATTAAATATGATCTTAAAGAAATACGATATTAAGTTATGGACTAGTTTCTTCAAGTCAAACTCGTAAATTAAGAAGCCAACACGAGATACAAACATATACTTCAGAAGTGACATCTATGCTCTAACAAGGCCAGTTAGACTAAGCAGAATCCTAGAACTTTTCCGCGTTATAATTATGTCACAAACGGATCCCACATGCTGGATATTTAAGAAAGGGTAATTAAGAAGAAAGGAAATGGCGCTGTTTTGTAATCCAACGTGAAATGCGTTGAAGCGTGGGAACCGAAGAAAGTTGTTAGAAGAGACCCACTTAATCATCTGCATCACTGCTAACTTGCTGGAATACTCGTACTTAAAACCAGAAACATGGCGGGAGTGCGAACTTTTGAAGATTATGGTTCTGTAGAGAGAGAAGAGTATATGATAACTGTAATTTAGCCGAAACATACAATTGAAGTCACGTGATGTAGTTTACCATTCGTCTTACTTATAGGGTACAAAAGAATTTTGGTATCATCATAGCGTTTGTTCTCAGGTGAGGCAGATCTTTTGTCGTAGAGTATTCACATTGCCGGTGCTCTGCTGAGAATGTCTTTTTAGGCTGACTTCTTATTCCCTGTCTTGAGGCATTACATAATCAATTTTTATTATATTTAATGTTGGCTGTTGACATTAAAATGTTTCGAAATTAATTTTGTTGTGCATTGATCAATTATGACTCATGCTGGTCATGAAGTACAAGTTGTACTTATAATAACATTCCTTAGAATCGACTCGCTGTACAAGCAAATGTTGCATGACAAAATATAAACTTTCATTGTGTGTTAAAAGTGTTACTAATTAAGTAAAATTAATCTGGGCTCTTTAAAGCAGTAGAGTTAATGAAAGTTTATATTTAAACCACATGTTTTTATTCCTTTTAGAGTAAAATGGCGGTTCTATAAAAGTAATAACATACGTGTATTACGAAAATGTACCGAGGTTTTCATTTAGTATTGTTGTACATAGTTTTCAATAATTCAATAATTCAAATTCAATAATTTATAGCATCAAATTAGAAGTTGTAGGATCATAATGAACAAATGAACTGATTGATGAAGTTGTGTGTACTGCCTGCAGGTTCCACCCCGACATTTGGTTGAACAAATCTAAGAAAAATAGAAGGATACAGCCATTTTCCTACACATCTTGTTCATGTATAGGAATTGGAACCGTGTAACTCCCAATATCAAAGTAATTTATAAATACACTAGTTCGATCAATCGATATCAACATATGTAGGGTCAAGTATTCAGTTTAATCACTAGTGGAAGAGCAAGTTAGCACAACCAGTAACATTTCTGAGGTACATTCGGGAGGCGGCCGGTTCAAATACCGGCTGTCTTCACTGTTTCTCGGGGATTTACTCAGTTCCTCCAAGAAAATATCAGGACAGCACCGGTACGGTAAATTAGGCCATGACACCTTTCTTCCATATTCTTTGCAGTTTATTGTTCATTAGCAACCGATCGTTCGCTGCTATATTTCTATAGTTTGCGTTATTGACAGGGTCAGTGAATAATTATCAAATAAATAAAATATAAAACTAAGTGAACGTTAGGGATATTGACTGAAGGAAATGCAACAGGAAGCAAGGTAATCCGTCCGCCTCTGCTCTTGTCTGTGCAAGAGGCATGCAGACAACTTAATGTCAAGCCTATTCCTGTGAGGAATGGTTACTAATAGAAGCTGCTTGTGTTTCTGAAGTTAGTGTGTCTGAATTTCCCTTAATAACCGGAGGACACATCATGGACATTACACACACACACGTACTACTGCCATTGGTCAGCAACTGGAATGAAACCAATAAGCTTGAGTCATCCTGTGGCATCTATGGCAAGCTACCGAGCTAGAGTTTGCAGGAATAACACAGAAACGCTTGGGAACAGGCAGCCTATGTATCGCTGCTCAGCAGCTACTACCTAGAAGCATAACAATATGCCTGAGCCATCTAGTGCCGTCTATGGCAAGCTACCGAGCTAGAGTTTGCAGAAATAACACAGAAACGCTTGGGAACAGACAGCCTATGTACCGCTGTTCGGCAGATGCTACCTAGAAGCATAACAATATGCCTGAGCCATCTAGTGCCGTCTATGGCAAGCTACCGAGCTAGAGTTTGCAGGAATAACACAGAAATGCTTGAGAGGAGGCAGCTTATGTACTGTTGTTCGGCAGATGCTACCTAGAAGCATAACAATATGCCTGAGCCATCTAGTGCCGTCTATGGCAAGCTACCGAGCTAGAGTTTGCAGGAATAACACAGAAACGCTTGGGAAGAGTCAGCATATGTACTGCTGTTCGGTAGCTACTACCTAGAAGCACAACAATATGCCTGAGCCATAATGTGGCAGCTATAACAATGTATTGCATGTGGTATTACTGGCTAGATTCGGAGCATTAAACCAAACGCAATGATTACGGTCTCTTGGGGCGTGGGGTCATGTAGTATAGATGTTTAAAGACTTTTCGGAGGTACATGCTGCCTCCATCTTCATGATAGAACACAGTATGACGTCGTAGAAGATAGCAATATTCAGAGTGTCCGCCGTAAGAACCTCGAATACCTAAGAGATGGACATGGACTATGGCCCAACGTAATTTACTATAACGAGAAAGGAGGTTTTCAGTGTTAAATCCCATATAATTCTGGAATAACGGACAAGTCTGTGCGAAATCTCGGTATAATGACCATGTTATTGACTTCACTGTGATGTAAAGGGTACTACAATGTACCCTCAGATTTACTGGGTTTTTAGACTTTGTACATCGACCGGTATTCTAGAGAGCTAAAGAACACAGCGTTTTAGAAACTGGATCTGTTTCCATCCTCAGCTGAAGGGGTGGATAACGACTCAGTTGGGCCCAGTCGATAGAGAGATAGGGAGTAGTTCTATCGACTAGGCCCAACTGAGCAGGTTTTACCTGAAGACGGAGACCAATCCAGTCTTCGAAATGTTGTGTTTTGAAAAATAAACAGGGCGGATTTTAGATAGAGATAAGACCATGGATAATGTCCAAAAACATAATATTTGTGCCAAGTTCCGGAGGATGAGAGAATCTGCGCTCCTGGGAAACATGACCGCTGAGCTATTTCCATGTCCATTGTTACGTAAAAAAGAATTAATATGTTATATAAGTTTTCGGTAACGCTTGTAAGCCCTCCATGAAAGAGTCTCTTTCACAGGAAATGAACAAATTGAGGCATTCAGTCTATAATGACAACATTATTATAACTAATGAAATATAATAGAGTAACAGTTGAATGGAAATTGATAAAAATTACATCCGAAAGCATTGAAACAATCGATGCATGCAAGGTCAGGTTTCTCATATATAACGAGAAGTACCAGACAACACAATGACAATTGTCATTCAAAATGGCAATGTTCTGCTTCTTGGTGATCCTAGCGTCCTCTCAGCTCTTGATGCTGGTTAATGTGGTGAGTAAGCTACGAAATCAGGTTAAGTTCATATCGGTTTCAAGAAAGGAAACCCTGCTTCTTGGTGATCCTAGCGTCCTCTCAGCTCTTGATGCTGGTTAATGTGGTGAGTAAGCTACGAAATCAGGTTAAGTTCATATCGGTTTCAAGAAAGGAAACCCTGCTTCTTGGTGATCCTAGCGTCCTCTCAGCTCTTGATGCTGGTTAATGCGGTGAATAAGCTACGAAATCAGGTTAAGTTCATATCGGTTTCAAGAGAGGAAACGCTGCTTCTTGAAAAATGTCTTTAGGATATCATATTGCTGTCCACTTTTTAAATTAACTTATTAGCTCAATTTAGAAAAATGCTTCTTGAGAAGATAGCAGTCGCTTAGCTAGTGAACAAATTCTCCTCCTTTTAAGGAATCAAACGTTCACCACTGTCGTCACAAGACCCGCGAAATTGCAATTGAAACCTCGAACAATAAACTCAAAATTAACCCATACATTTTCTTTATTAAATGGTTTACTTATATTGGGGTATGAACATTCAGAACGATGATATGAAACCAGCTCCCTGTTAATATTACATACGACATCATATCCCTAAATATCCTAACCGTCTTAGCTGCTGATATGATTACAGGATCCAAGCGAAATAAATTGGAATTATATGAACAACAGGGAGCACGCGTAGTTGGTTGAGGCAAGAAGGTCGTGGGATCGTATCCTGATGAGGTCGTTGGATTTTTCAATTTACCTAATCATTCCAGCCGCACTATGGCCCTGGGGTCGGCTGAGCCTCTAACAGAAATGAGTACCAGGAATATTCTTGGGTGTAAAGGGCGGCCGGTGGGGGGGGGGCTGACAACCTTACCGCCATCTATGAGCCGATTGTCTAGAAAATATGGGAGCCTCAACATCTCACAACCCTATGGGCCTCCAAGGCCTGTTACAGGGATACCTTAACTTTTTGCTTTAATGTGAACGATATAAGACGTGAAGTCAGCAGACATTTCAGGAAGAAAAAGAGGGAATATGTGAAAGACAAAATTAATAAGCTAGCAACGAACAGTAAGAAAAAGAACATTAGAGACCTATATAGAGGAATAAATAAATTTAAGGATATACGAATATCACTACCACGTTTTAATTTCATTACAAAACTTAGAGGTGAAAAAAAATAGAGCACGCCTAGCTTCCATATTTTCGTAATGTTCACAGATAATGTTCAAGCTGAATTCCGAAGTTTCCCACCTGCTAAGTAGATATTAATTCATATTCGAGATTGAACAGATATATGAACTGTTTCATTCGTAACAGAATTCTTCATTTGCAGGTATCAGCGTCTGAAGGTCGGATCAACATGAGAGAGATTATGAACAAATGCAATGAGAGTAATCCTATAGACCCCGGTGAGTTGCAACTTACAAAACACATCGTAAGCTAAGAGGGCAGGTTACGACGACCGCGGTATCTCGTACGTTTAGGCATACTTACATACTTACTTACTTATGGAGCTGAGCCCTTCTTGATTCCTACCATTCTATGGAACCCGAAGGTTCATTATCATGTTCACAAGAGCCCTCCACTGGTCCCTATCCTGAGCCAGATCAATCCAATTCATATCATCCCATTCTATCTCTCTAATATCAATTTGAATATTGTTCACCCACCTACACCTTGGTCTACCCAGCAGTCTCTTTCTTTCTGGTTTTCCCACCAATATCCTACATGCATTCCTCTTCTCCTCCATTCGTGCTACATTCCCTGCCCACATCATCCTCCTTGACTTGATCATTCTATTTATACTTGGAGAAGAGTACAAGTTATGAAGCTCCTAATTATGCAGTTTTCTCCAACCTCCTGCCACTTCATCCCTCTTCAAACCAAATGTTCTCCTCAACACCCTGTTCTCAAACACCCTCAGTCTATGTTCCTCCCTTAATGTCGTTTAGACATCACGGTCGTAATTGCTTCTTAGGTTTCTTAACTGTGCTTCACTATGATCTGCTATATTTAATATATTCTGAGGATTAACGTGAAAATGGTGACAGCATTTGCGGGGAAGAGAGAGGTTGCGCCGTGTGTAAAGCTTGGAGGACCTGACCTAAACAGGAAAGAGTATTGTTACAGTCCTGCTGAGAAGAGGTTTCCTTGTTAACGGCATTATTTTTATTGAATACTTCTTCTTTAGTTGTATGATCTGTCAGTCTGCGAGGTGGAGTTCCATTCCCGGTTGCGGCAGAAATTTATCTCTTCTCAAGACCACACAGCCTCCTGCTCAATGGGTTATGCCATTCTGTCTCTGGAATAAAGGGGCCGGGGCGTGAATCTGAGCCTTCACCTCAATTTTGTGCAGAGGTTAAGAATTCCTGGGGCCATACCTCCACCCCCATACATCTTTATGGCGTCATTTTTAATTATGCACATATTCTCTTCAGATTAGGCTTAATTCTCTAGTAGTCCAATTTTTTCTTTTTGGCGCTACAGCCCCAATTTGAGCCTTGGCCTACCTCCATGAAACTCTGCGTTTCACTTCGGTTTAATACTCGTAGATATTAAATATTCGGTAAGACTCCTTGGGCCGGTGATCAGTTTGTCGCAAGGCTTCTACCTCTACATATACACTAAATGTCCATGCCCTGAGTGGGATTCTAACCCACGATCCCGGCTTCCGAGCGAGCGAAAGCAGTGCATGCCTTAGACCGCCCGACTACCGTGACCGGCTAGAGCCCATATCTCGTGCAGAATTCGAACACGCGATCCTAGTGTTGGAGCTGTCTAAGAACACGCGGTCACTCTTATAAATCAAAATTATAAAATAAATCGTGTAAGATTTAAGATGTTTTGAAAATGTGGCACAGTTCAGATATTTGGGAACAACGATAACAGATCGAAACCTTATTCAGGAGGAAATTAAGAGGCGATCGAACTCGCGTAATGCTTGCTACCATTCAGTCCAGAACCTTTTGTCTTCTCGTCTGTTGTCCAAAAACATAAAAATTAGAATGTACAAAACTATAATTTTGCCTGTGGTTCTGTATGGGTGTGAAACTTGGTCTCTGACATTAAGGGAGGAACATAGACTGAGGGTGTTTGAGAACAGGGTGTTGAGGAGAATATTTGGACCAAAGAATGAAATCACAGGAGGTTGAAGAAAACTGCATAATGACGGGCTTCATAACTTGTACTCTTCTGCAAGTATAATTAGAATGACAAAGTCAAGGAGGATGAGGTGGGCAGGTCATGTAGCACGAATGGGGGAGACGGGGAATGCATATAGGATATTGGTGGGAAAGCCAGAAGGAAAGAGACCACAGGGAAGACCAAGGTGTAGGTGGGTGGACAATATTAGAATGGATCTTAGAGAGATAGGATGGGATGGTATGGATTGGATTGATTTGGCTCAGGATAGGGACCAGTGGAGGGCTCTTGTGAACACGGTAATGAACCTTCGGGTTCCATAAAATGCTGGGACATTCCTGAGTAGCTGCAGAATTGGCGGCTCCTCAAGAAGGGCCCAGCTCCATGAGTAAGTAAGTAAGTAAGATATAAAGTACAGAAGCCATCTACTATGTTTAATAGACTGGGAGTACACCTGCTATTTTCCGTTCGTCAGAACTGATTTAAGGTAATTATCATTCGCTTAGATGACTCGATATCTCGATATTTACGGTCAGATTCTTCACTCGATGCAGAACGTAAAGATGTATTCCTCTTGTTTTCTCTGTTGTGTTGTCCCACGCAGGCAGGATTCTTGCGGTGGGCTGATCCCCGTCCGAGAATTCAATTTTTTTTTTTTAATTTTGCAGTAAGTGTAGGGTATAGACGAAGTCCTATGCATTTTTTCTCTCTTTCGTGAGGAATTAAAGGCTAAAATCCAGGTCCTATACAGAAAGCTTGCAATCACGGCACCCCATAACTGAAGTCACAAATAACATCTTAGTAGTACGCAAGTACTTCATTCTACTTATACCTATCATAATGATTCTGTCATGAGCCCTGCCTACCGAGGGACAATTATATCGGTGCTATAGATAGCGATCTTCAAATATGAATATTTTGAGGTATTCTCTACGTTATTAATTCGAATTCTGTGATATCATTTTACTAAGAACAAGAATTTTAATGAAAGACACGAGTATTAGGCCTATATTCTTACCGTTGTAGTGAAATTGCTCCTTTTTTGTAAATTCTGCTTTCGTTACAGAATTCTTGGAGCAGCTCAACGCGACTGGTAGTTTTTCCGATGAGAACTTCAGACCTGCCAAAGTGAGTATAAGTACACTTTAAGAAATAGGCTTAACTACACTTTATAGTATGTTGTTTATATTTTTATGAAGTTTATCAAGATGCATATAGAATGCTGATGTAATACACAGGCATTTTCTTTCTGTTGGGTTATTTCACAACTCCGTCAGTAGACGGGATTTGTAGCGTCAAAACATGCATGTAGTTAGGGGTCTGATTTTATGTGCTTGATATAAGAAATGTGCAGTTTCATTGTTTTATTGCGGATTATTTTTTAATCGCAGAATTCTGGGTTCTTTAACTAGTTACAATATGGGTGTTATATTTCTCCTGCTCCCACGAAAAAAAAAACAGTCTGAACAATTCGGGAAGTTTTTTAGAACAAAAATATAATTTTGTGAATATACAGATTTTCTAAATACTCACAAATCGGAGATTAAGACTTAAATGAAGAATACATTGAAGATTTTGGAATATGGCAAGACAGTTTTAGAGTATTCATGCGGGGGTGAGTCAGTAAATAGGTCACAATGGATATAAAACGTAAAACGTGTGATTCTAGAACCTGGAGAAAACATATAATTCTCGACATATCCTCCACCAACATTGATACATTTGTCATATCTCTTTACTGGCACGTCGAAACCTAGAGCGTAGAAGATTTTGACTGTTGTCTTAGCCACTTCCGCACCTCCATTTCAACCCCGCCTTAGGTGACAAACATTTTTCACTGTAAACAGAAAACTTTTTTTTTCACGAATACCCATTACACTGAGTCTTTTTGCCCATAAAAACGCACAACGAATCGATATTCTTCGGTGGTACACACTTCAAGGACGGTCACCATTTTGACTACTGAAAGCAGCCTCTAAACATGCGCATGCACGTCTTCTACCTAGACTTTCTTATTGAAAAATTCATGTATATACAAAAATGGCTAAGCAATGCCCATCTGGCCCATCTATCTAGACTGTCCTGAAGCCGGACTGTACTGCTACCTAGTGACACAAATTGTAAACCTATTACGTCCATTACAGCTGTTTCATTTCCGTTTGTGACGCATTTGTCGCCTCTCCCTCGTAGCTTTCAACTGAACTATTGTATGATTGGCGTGTTTCCTTTCTATGTTTCCATAAGTTATCATAAATTTATGTACCCATGTGACATGTGTCAGTGAACAAACCCACGACAGGCTTTGCGTATCACCCCATGCACACGAATACTTTCGTTTTCTACTAAGCCCTAGGCTGTTTATCAGAAAGCGATAGTTTTACGTTATACTACTGGTAAACAAACTCTACTGTATAAGCGTACATTGAAAACAGTTTTGAAGATTTTCATGAAACTTTACGCAAAGCCCATGTCATTGAAGGCCACTCCGATTTTATAAATTTGGCGTGGCTCTTCAAGTTCTAATAAATTTGTTAATGTTATATTTTAGCGTCCTGTTGCACTGATTTAAGTTCATGATTTGTTTAATCCGTCTTGCAGTGCGTACACTTATCTATCTTCTTCTCTCACTCTCACTACATGTTTCGGCATAAAAATGCCATCTTCAGGTGCTACTCAATTCACGTCAAACTAGTACATTGTATGCCTTGTCTTCACTTTAAAATAACTAAAATATATGTCCATCATATATATTGACAAATGTCAATCGTAAAAATATTAAAACTGTTCAGGATTCCCGATCGCTACGTCGTATCTTATTACGCCAGTCATGCTCATCCTACTCTGTTGGAGCTCTTCTTCCCTATCGTGTGTATTGTGTTTCTGTTGCGTCTTGTTCTCGCGACTGCGTGCGTTATGCTGTTGGGTCTGCTGGGTATGTGTGTGTGTNACAATGTACTAGTTTGACGTGAATTGAGTAGCACCTGAAGATGGCATTTTTATGCCGAAACATGTAGTGAGAGTGAGAGAAGAAGATAGATAATTGTACGCACTGCAAGACGGATTAAACAAATCTAATAAATTTTCTTCTTCGGACCCATACCTTACTTAGGTTGGGCCCCATCTCTACTACTAGTTAAGACTTCCCATAGAGTATTACGCGTTTGCTTTACTGTAGTGTAAAGTTATCATACCTCCCTAATTTGTTTGTTTCCAGTGCTTCATCCGCTGTATGTTCGTGGAAACTGGACTGGTAAGTGGCTTCTTAATAAGGGTGATTCTAAATTATCGTCGGGATTTCCTTTTATACACCACGGATTCACCGACAGTATTTTAGAATCACTCTCTATGCCTCAGGTGGCGTTACAACACACGGGAACTAAGCGGCCAGCGGGGGCATTTCAGGTTTGGAGGCAGCGCGTCTCACAGCCCCATTCTTTTGGCCTACTTCCCTTATTTTGATAAAAAAAATGAAAAAGCCGGCTTATGAGATCACCATGCTATCTGTGAATCCCCCTCTATCAACTTTTGAATGCCTGAACTATCATTAAGAAACTTTGTATGCACATCGTGGCGCCTGAGTCCGTCTCAACGGCTTCCTTCATAAATTCCTTCCATCAGTCTGTGTGCCCGTATGTAGATCCCCTTATCGTTGCTAGGCAATGGCTTGGTTAAAAATGTTACAGCCGGAACCAATATATATGCAACAGTAGAATAATTGACGGGCGCGTAATTTTCTCTGCGTTCCGTGTCGTATCAAAGAAAAGTAAGCGATTAGTTTTTCTCAGAACTTCTGGTTGTTTCATGCTGATCGAGAATACGTTCAAACTTTTCCTTTTTCATATCATAATTTGTAGTTATCTAAACATGTTACACGTCAATGCTAAGTAAACTGTATGACAGTACAGTTCATGGCACCCAAGACGGTTTGTAATGCAGTAGTGCCACTTATTTCGAGGAAGTTCTGAGAAACTTGGATTTCTGTTACCTGGGGGGGGGGCGGATGGCAGTGACGAAGGGATTAAATTTTACACGTGTAAGATTACACGTTTCTGCATTTAGTGGCCACAACCACTGTGCTCACAAATATCAACTTAAAATATTTATTAACACTCAGTATCAGAGAAATGAGCTGCTAACTGCCATATGATCTCCTGCAGATGGACTCTAACGGAACTTTGGTTTCGGCCAAGTTGAAGGAAGCTTTCGCTAAGTATGAAGGTCCTGTGGGCACCAAGGTCGCCGATCGGGAGATGTTCGTGGATGCTTGTATAGCGAAGGATGGTGAGTTCAGATCACTCTGTTATCTTTATCCAGTTGTTTCGTTACTTCCTTCTATCTTTCTTTCTTTCTTTCTTAATCTGCTCCTCTTGTACCTTGCGGTGTCGAGGTAAGTATATTTTATATTTCTCTTAATCTCAGACAGTCGGTAGGGCTCCTTGTACGGGGGATCGGCCCGTCGCAAGGCCGCTACCTAACACAAACAAAATAAACACATATACAAAGAAATATCCATGTATTGAGTCGAACCCACGACCCCAGAGTCCAAGCGAGAGAAGACAGTTCATGCCTTAGACCGCGTAGCCACTATGATCGGCTTTTTCCAGTTCTTACTTTTCTTAATTGGCGAATCATCTTCTTTGACTCTTAAGTTTTCTTTTCTCTCTAGACAGAACTGAAGATGAGCGGATCTGCTGCAGGCTCGGTAGCGTTACATTTACACAAGTTTCCTGGGCTTGCACGCACACAATAGGATGGGTTGGGAACTTCATGCAACATGAACTTACAAATATTAAATACGTACAGTTTTCTACTAACTGCTATGCTTATGTGGAGCCGGCATAACTCAGTTGGTATAGCGAGTGGTTTACGGACTGGATGACCAGATTTCGTTTCCCGACAGAGGAATGGAATTTTTTTCTTTTATTCATAGTGTCAAGATTGAATTTGGGACCCACCCAGAATCCTATCCTCTGGGCAAGGGGGCTTCACCCCCGGCGGTTAAGAGACAGATTTTTGAATCTGACCTCTAGAATCCATTTAGTGCTGGAGTTACAAATGTATCTCCACTCCCACATATGCCTTTTTGTCATAATATTACGTAATATAACATGTTGCGCGACTGAGAACCCCCCTCCACCCTCCTCTCCACGGTAACGTNGATGTTTATATGGGGACACGCGGTAGCGTAGTTGGTTGGGGCCCTATGCTACAAGCAGGAAGTTCGTGGGTTCGATTCCCGATGGGGGTCATTGTATTTTTCAATTAATCTGCTCCTTTCAGCCACGCTATGGTCCTGGTGTTGACTCAGTCTCTAACAGAATTAAGTATTAGGAATCTTCCTGGGGGTTATAAGGCGGCCAGTGCTTAAGGCTGGCAACCTCACAGATATCTGTGAGCAGGTTTTCTAGAAAATGTGGGAGCCTCGACGTCTCACATCTCTATGGGCCTCCATGGGCTGTTACAGCGATAGATTTACTTTTTTTTTGGTATTGCGAGTGAGATGTCGTTAGAAAGACGAAATTAAAGTAAAGCAACAGTTCATGTTCTGAGTACAGAACATCAGTTATAGGTTATATAAAACACCAGTCACACTGGACGGAACTGTTTTATGTTTTTATAATATAAATTACGTTTCACATACCATGCACGTACAACACTGTTCATCCCGGGCCTTTTCTATCTGTTTCACTCAAAATAACACGAGTAGTAGCTGAAGTCAGGTGTTCTGTAATGTCGTTGAAAAACTGGCAGCGTGGGTGAGATAGGAATGTAAGAAGAAAAACCATTGCGCCCTGATTGAAGCCGTCAGTCCGTGTATTTCCTGAAAGAAATGAACAGACCAAAAGAAAGCTTCGACTTGAATGGCCGAAGTCTACACTGATATTTGAACAAGGACATTTTGAAAAAAAAAAAAAGCAAGATGGCTGCATCATTATAGAGTACAGTGTGATAGCATATTCACTCATATGCCTATAACGTAACTTATCATTTCAAGGCGATTTCTCTTTGCCGCCGGATCTGGGCCGGGTTTGGACCTGTTATGAGGCTCATCCAGTCTTCTATATAGCGCGTACTGGACCGAGCTTCTCCGAGCGTTAAGCAGTGAAGACGTGAAATTGACTAATCTTGTTCTTCTACTTCGTAGGCAAAGACAATATTGAGTTATACCACTACCCCTCCATAAGTCTTCGTCACGTGGTACTTAATTAGGAAGAGAGACATCTTTACGTTTTTACCATTTCATTTCATAATTTTAGATATGAAACTATCTAAATTCCTTTACAAATCACTTATATTTTAGAACTAAACTGCTTATGACCACATCTGTATTCAGCTGAGTCTGATACTGGAACTGGCAGATTTAATACTCGCAAAAGAGAAACGAACCACAAGACACGGTTCTGAACCAACTCAATCAGATTTACTTCACAATAAGAAAGCAGTCTTCTGGGATTTGGCACCGTGTATATGTGGTGTTAACCGACGTTTCGGNCAATAGTTATTCCTTTTATAGTCATCATGATTATTGTAATTTTTATTATCATCATCATCTCTCTGTGACGCCTTGCTCATCTGTGCTTTTAGCTATATGTGTCTGTATGTAACTAAATGACAACGTTCCGCCATTTTTGCAGCTGACGTCACGTGCCAGTGCGAGAGGGCTTACCGGTTCTCCAAGTGCCTCATGACAGAGGTGAGATTGTCTTGATCGCATTTTCATGCACATTGCTGTAGAAATACATGACATATTTTACTCACCCCTCGCTCTGTTGTGCCTCCTTCACGACAGATGTCCATTGTTAGTGTTTGCTTTTTGCTCTCCTAAATCATTCTTTACATCTCCCAGAATTCTCAATGTGGACCAGCCTTTCCATTCTTCTCGTACCTCATTGATTGCTTCGTGAAGCTCCCACAGCCCTAAAAGTAATATCCAAATTTTACTAGTCCCTTAAAACCCCGATTTCAATATTTTGTAGTAAGAGAAAGTGGCCAACTATTGCCGAAAGTTGTCTTTTTGTATGGATATATGTAAGGCGTGTTTTAGTCTCTGCTTAGAAGGAAATGGTTCAGAATATGTTGAAAGTTGGGAGTTTTGATGTTCTGTTCTGAGGTTCTCTCCCCTCGGGTTAAAGTAATCGGAACTTGAAGCTGGCTACTCATGTCCGTCTAGTACAGAGGTTAAGGATGAATGGCGCTGTCCCATAACACTCCCATAAGTATTCGAGATGATGCTTGATGAAGCACTAGAACCACTATATCCTCTTTTATGCTTATAATGTGTATGCAAATATATATTTGTAATAATGCTTGGTTTTATGGGTCAATTTACTAATTAACTCAATGGACCGAAGTCCTTTTTGAGAAGCGAACAGTAGCTCAGCAATGCCAGAATTTCCTCGCCCTGTCCAGAGTCGGGGAAACAAACCCACGCCTAATTGCATTCCAGTCCGTTTCAGCACATTTCCATCCCAATCTAAGAATTCATATTCCAAGCAGACTTTTTGCTTTAGATTTTCACACCAAAATTCTCTATGCAATTCTCATCCCTTTCATGCGTGTTACTTCCCCGTATTTCTCCTTTATTTTTACCATCCTAATAATACCTGGCGAAGAGTACATATTATGAAGTTCCTCAGTATAAAATCATATCCATATTCCCGCTGCTTCCTTCCTCTTATATCCAAATATTCACCTCAGCAGTCCGTTCTCAAATTCCCCACTCTATGCTCTTTCGTTATTTTGATATGTCGCTTTCATTCACATAAAAACATCAGACAAAATTTTGACTCTGTATGTGTATGTTAATCCATGATATGTATACAGTTGCCGGCTTGTAGTGCACTCAATTTCACCTGTTACTTCACGACATGTTGCAGCAACATAGTGCCATCATCAGGTACCCTAATTACGCTAATATATTTCATTGCTTGCCTTTATAAAATTATTTAAAAAGTATTTAAAAAGTGCGTATTAGTCAACTATAATAAATTAACACACACTAAAACTTGTTAAGATTATTCATCTTATGTGTCATAATTAAAACTTGTGTGTGGTTCTTCCACTATGGGGGCCGTTTTTCTTATATTCTGTGTAAACCGTGTCTTGTGATGTGTGTTCCCTTCTTAGCTGCGAGTGTTGTAGCATAAAGGCAAGCAATGAAATACATTAGCGTAATTAGGGCACCTGATGATGGCACCATGTTGCCGAAACATGTCGTGAAGTAACAGGTGAAATTGAGTGCACTACAAGACGGCAACTGTATACATATCATGGATGCAAATCAGTGCAACAGGACGCTAAAATGCAACGCTGTGTATGTTAATATTTATAACTTAGATAGCTTACCGGAAGACAAATGGTTATAAATGTAGTGCTAGGAATTGAACCTGCTCTTATTTTCTTTATTATTCCAATTTATATATTTGTGTATCTTTCTCAGATATTTGTACTTTGCCTCATTTTCGAAGGATTAATTAACCACCTTTATGTTATGGCTTTGTCCTGAATTCAGGCGACGAGATACGAACATGTAGGCTTAATTCTTAAGAGTGGGTAAAACTGAGTCTCTTTGTACTGCGGACTCAGATGTGCCTATTGTACCAGTCTCTGGTGTTAGATAATGATGGAATATTGGTGGAATTATAATTGATAGGTGAAATAACTGTCCCTTTTCCGCCTTATCCACAACGATCCAGCATGGATTACCATGGAAATGAACCTGGGTCACTGTGGTAAGAAGCCGAGCTACGGCGCCTATAAGCCTTTTAGTTTTTGATAGCCTATAAGCCTCTTAGTTTTTGATAGCCTCTATGTCCTCATACAAACTCATACCAGCTGCCTACATACACAGCGGGTAACCTGTTTACAGTGGGGGGGGGGGAAGGGTATGTATAAGGCAGACACCACTCTTAATTCCTATGAAGCTCCTCATGCATCTGGGCCCTTCTTGAGAAGCTGCCAATTGTGCAGCTACTCAAGAATTTACCAGCATTCTGTAGAACCCGAAGGTTCGTTGCCGTGTTCACAAGAGCCATCTACTGGTCCCTATCCTGAGCCAGATCAATCTAATCCATACCATCTCATCCTATCCCCCGAAGATATATTTCAATATTGTGCCCCCATTTACGTCTTGGTCTTCCCAGTGGTTCTTTCCTTCTGGCTTTCCCAACAATATTCCATATAAATTCCTCTTCTCCCCATTCATACTACATGCCCTGTCCATCTCATCCTCCTTGACTTGATCATTCTAATTATACTTGGAGAAGAGTACAAATTATGAAGCTCCTCATTATGAAGTTTTCTCCAGCATTCTGTCACTTCATCTCTTTTGCCCAAATATTTTCCTCAGCACTATGTTCTCAAACACCCTCGGTTTATGTTCCTCCCTTAAAGTCAGAGACCAGATTTCACACCCATACAGAGCCACAGGCAAGAATATAGTTTTGTATGCATTCTTAAGCAACGTTAAGATAAAATTCTGTATAGTTAGATGCCTTTGACACGGTGAATTTCAAGACTGGGTCCAAATAATTTCGTGAAAACCCTCTTCCTACGTAGAACAAAAGGTTGACATTTTTCCTCCAAGTAAGAGAATGTGAAACAGCACTGTGGAATTTTAGTGCCAGTTCAGTTTTTGACGTGTTTACCAAATTTGTTTGTACTCAGGAACATATTCTGTTTAAAATGTGACGGATAGAATCAACCAAATTGAGATCAACCTATCAGGCTTAGAGGACAAATGCTTCGCTCGAACGCTCTGCTAAGTTAGCAGGACAGTTTGAGTACCACTCTCTGCCGAATGTAGCGTGGAACGATCTGTTTGTCAGAAGATACTGAAGTGCGGAGACTCAAGCACGTTAACCGATGAGAGAGATGAAGACAAGTACTGATGCTCCACAGCCGGAGATGTTCGGGCGGCTGGAGGAAGCGGACGCAGAAGGAGATGGCGACAGCACCATCCGGGATGCGATTACCGGCTTCCTGCGTGACATGGGTCAGACGGTGCTCACTGTTCTCAACATCCTGAACCAAATCCGGGAGGTGATCGCGTCCGCCTTTTCAGGGTGACAACCTCAGACATGCATTACCATGCCAAAATGGGTGACTTAGTGGTGAGACTGCTTTCCTTTTGAATGTTAGCAGATATGCAGTGTTGGTATGAAAGTTCTATGAAATGCTGTGTATTGTTAATACCCACAGCAAAGTCCAATATTTCAACCAAGGCTTTTATTTTATTTCTTTATTATTATTCTTAATGGGGTGAGACTGAGTCCACTTGGTACTGCAGCCACTGCTGGTCTATTGTAGCATCCTCAGATGATAGATGATGGTGATTCAATTGGTGGAATGAAGATTGGCAGGGGAAGCCGAAAAACTCGAAAGAAACCTGCCCCAAATGTCATTTATTGCCCACCACAAATCCCACATGACCTGACATGGGCTCGAACCCGGGCCGCCGCAGTGGAAAGCCAGCGGCTAACCGCTTGAGCTATGGCGCGGTCTCAGCCGAGGCTTTCTTCAAACAGACAATAGTTTAGTTACCAGAAATTTTCCCATTGGATACAGGTGGCTCTTGCCGGAGGTGAAACATTTGGAGTCTAATATAACCCATTTACCTCAGGACCTGCCGAATTAGAGAATGCGTGGATCTCAGTGTCGACCCCCATACATATTGCAGTCGTGGTGCCGTAGCACGGGGATATTTTATCGTTAAGTTGTGGTATACATATGTAGGGTGGAATCCTTAGACGGTATCGAAATATGTCACTACTTTCAAAATTATCCTTTTGATATGAAGGGTTCATGACACGCTGTTGCCTTTCTTTTTCTGAAGTTGAGGTTGATTTACTTAAAGCAAAGAATTGCACCAGTCTGAATTTATTATGGTTGCAGACGCTCTTGCCAAATTAACCTATTATAATGATCATTGCTACAGACTTTTATTCTATTATCATAGGTTTGTAACTGGTATCCTTCATGATGCCTAACGCATTCTCCAAGAGCACAGAATATGCATCTAGAACTGAAGAGCTGTGAGATGTGTCAGGCTGCGAGTTTCTCTCAAATTTAATCACGTTTATAATGGAATAGTTCAAACTGAAGACACTAGGAGTCCAAGAATGTTGTTTTGAAATTAGCACATTTTGGTATGGTAATGTATAATGTCCGGAAACTTACAAAAGCGGTAATTTGTTGACAAATTTGAAACAAATTAATCGTGATTTAATTTTTATAACATGAACTCACATTTTATTGTGGATCATATTACATACGACACCATTTCTCTACAATTTAAGAGTATTTCCTCCTTTTGAATTCATAAATTTTGAGAATGTAATGTAACAGTTATTTTAAGTTTTCACAGCACATATACATCCTATTGTGCAAGTCGAAAATGATTCAATCGGTATAATTGGAGCAAATAAATTTGTACATATTATCTTGAAGAAAACGTTTCAGAAAGTACAGTACAAACAAATTTGGTGTTGTCTCAAAATTATTTTTTAAGCTGGGTTAGTGTTAATAAATAGTGATCTGTAAATGTTTTGTGAATTTAATTTTAAAAGTTCTAGGCTCTAAAATAATACTATGACGAGCCCAATCAACTACACTCGAAAAATTATTGTCACTCAGATTGCTATGGTTACGACAGGAAATATTAATATTTTCAATAATCAAATATTAATTATGTATGTACGATAAGCTTTACAAATAAAAGGACCAGTGTGTATATACTTTAAACCCGTTAGACCTGTTGTTTTATTTCAATCGCTAAAATAATTTATTATTAACAGGAACTGAAATCAACAATGGGGAACTAGTGTATCAACCAACGAACGAACACTTCACTTCTGCACAGTCCGACAAGAGAAATTATCTCAGTATTACTACATGAAGGGCCCTTAATATGTAATTTAGTTTTATTATTCTGTCATCCCAATAATGAAAAATAAACACACTTTTAAAATTGAGATCTTGAATTGAATCACATTATGTTTTCTTTTTTTGAATTAAATTATGTATATTCAGGGCTGGTGTTTTATTGATCGTCGTCAGAAGCCCAAACTAATGACTTTATTATGGCCGATTCTTCATGTCTCTAGGAGACCTCTGAGCAAAATTAGGCAAAGTTTCCCGCCCAAGTAGTTTCCAGTGCCTCCGGTAGATGAANCCAAACTAGATAAAGGGCACTTTAACATAAATTCCGAAGATCTGTTACTGTATTTACAGAATCTTCCCAAACTTCTGAGCCAGTTCATACCCTATTTCCCTGAGACCAATATTCATATTTTCTATGCCCAAGTCTCCAATGTGCTTCTTCTACCTTTTAGGTTGACAGACCAAAATTTGTATGAATTTATAATTCCTTATAACGTATTACATGCTTCACCTATTTGATTCATCGGCATTTAATCGCCCTAAATTTATCAGATGAAGAGCATAAATTATAAACCTTCTCCTTATGTGATTTTCTTCATTCTCCTGTAACGTGTTCCTATACTCCCTGCAGCCAACCTAATAACATTTTTAGTTATGTAAAATGCCGTACACAGCGCTCTCTCTGACTTCAGGGGTAACTCTCCCCAAAAGATATAAAATAAAATGATTAAACTTGTTGTTTTTAAAAAGTAACTAATTTAACCATCACACAATTTTAATTCTCACCGACACCCTTGGCTGAGTGGTTAGAATTTTAACTTCATATTCGAAAGTTGTCCTTTAAAATATCGCCCCGGAAGCTGGGTATCTTGACAAGGATTGTACGTCATTTGTATCGTTTTCGACAGAAATTTCCAGACAGTACCTTCGAATGGGTCATAATAATTTTTCCAGTGCCTTCCTCATTCATTATTTATAATCATCCCACCTCTAGACGGTATATAGCATGTTCAGTTGAAAGGCGTTGTTAAATAATCCAAGAATCGATCGCTTTTATTATTACACCCTTCCAAATTGATGAAAAGAATGACAAAGCACTTGTTAACAATTACTTTATCACTGAGCATGTAAGGAGAGAGCAGCACAAAAACGCAAACAGGAACTTAACGTTTCTCGTGGTTTCTCTCAGTCCCACCAGACGAGTATAGAGACACTAACTCTAAATTAGGCAATGGCTTCTTCCTTTCACATCTATTTCAAATAATTATTTACGTGTGACCTAATTTTCGAAACTTAGATAAGTAAAACTGAGTAGGGAGGTTTGGTCTTACATTCAAATTTCATTCTTCAGAATGTTATAAAATAGATTTAATTTTGTTCGACTCTGTAATTCGTATAGGCTTCAGCAAAAAGAAAAACTTTGAGGTTCAACAGCCCAGTGCTTTCTCAAAAAAGTGATCATATCCCTTTGTTCCGGCTTGTTATCTTTTCCGGCCAGTAATTTTCATGAAGCTGCTGATAAGACGATTCTGCCTCTACAATTATAGAGCAGCTAGCAATAATCAGCTTGTTTTGTCAGCAAATAATGGTCAACTCCAATTATAAAACGTAAATGAACTTTTCATATTTAAAATTATATTTATTTTATATTACTTATCTAGTCGTTTATGTGAATAATTTGGTATAACTCCATTCAGATTATTTTCTTCCTGTGACATCATATATATATATATATAAATGTGTGGTTCATGTACGGGACTTCTTTCAGTTGCAGGGGGTTCCAACATGTCGCGGTTTATGTACTTTGCTTTCTTCATTACTCTACGAGTGGCCAATGTAAGTAGGTCGACACATAATTATTCTTGAACAGGTATGTCAATCTTAATATGTATATAAAGTCACGCACAGAACTTTCAATTAGGCAAGTAGCTGTATAGGCTTTGTACAAGAGTGGGAATACCAAAAGTGCGGCTTGATTGGACAGAAATAAAGGACTTCATAGCAGCATCAGCTATTTGGTGGTATTATCGTCTTGTTTTTAATGCAAAGTTAATATTTTATTCTCATAGAACTACGTCCATCTGTGGCCTAGTGGACAGACTTCCTGGCTACACATCCAGAGGTCCGGGTTGGTTCGATTCCCGGGGCTACCAGATTTTCTGAGAAGTAGTGGGTCTGGAACGGGGTCCACTCAGCCTCGTGAGGAAAATTGAGGAGCTGTGTCAAGGAAATAGCGGCTCCGGTCTAGAAAACCGAAATTAACGACTGTGGGGATTCGTTGCGCTGACCACGCGACGCTCTCTATCCGCTGAAGTGGGCACTAACTTCGCCGACAAGCGGCGGTAGCTCGGTGGGTATAGTTCGCTTTCGGACTAAAACCACGGAGTTTTACCTCATGATATTTAATCATAGCTGTTTCTAAACATCACTTGTAAAACATAACAAACAAAGCTGAAAATATTGCACTAAAAATTTATTACACGAAATAATGAAGGGCGTTTTATGAAATTTATTAACCGCACTAAGAAATCTAAATTATGAAATTCTTAGTATTTAAAGTCTCCCATGTCGAATTTTAATAAAATTCTTTCGAGTGGTTTACGGGACACACAATAAAGATCGGGATCCTTTCAAGGGTCGTTTAGCCAGTTTTTCAGTGGGGCAGCCATAAAATCTACAAAAAACTTGCATTTAAGTAGACTGCTTTTTTCATAGTCACCGCCGTGAAAGCCTCAAATCTTATTCAGGATATGTCAATAATTTTAACTCCTTTTAATATTTGGTACATTTCCTTATTTTTTCAGTTCCAATTTCTTTGAAAAAATCAAAAGGTGGGGAGATATGTATATGGCTCACCCTGTCAAGTTGACGTCCATGTATGATATATAAATTCTGAAAATACATATTATGTAAATTTCAGAATGTGGCAGTAATTTGACGAGAGTGTTCATCATTAAACAGCAATCGGGTCTACACACATCACATTTCTGTATCTGGAAACAAGTAGGAGTGAAAGAGAAAGAAGCACATGGTAGGAACATGCATCAAAATTAACCGAAAGAGGTCAGGATATCCAACTCATTCTATTCTGGACCCAACAAATTATACCAGATACAACCAAATTCGAACTCGGACCCATCGGTTGTCCAGCCCGTAGCCAGTCGCTTTCCCAGCATATGATGTTGTATAGCGTAAAAATAAAACAAATGTCTATATTTTGTTCTTAGCACCGATGTTTCTAATTGTAATGTGTAATACAGACATGTCCTATTGACAGGGAAAGACCATTTTCTCCGCGACGCCGACATCTTCCGATCCGAACAACGACCTGGCTGTGATCCGATTCTGTAACACAACCTCACCAATAAGTCTTGGTGAGTGATGATTTTCGAACGCCTGTCAATATTCAAAAGACAAGGCTGTAGGTCACATAAGTAGGTCAGCTTCTCACCACATATTTCGGGTTTAATCACACGTGTATTTTTGTCATTTTTGTAGAGTCTATGAACTTAGTACTGATTAACAGAAATCTGGCCGCTGTGGACAACGCCGACAGCTTCAAATGTTTCCTGTATTGTCTCTACAACAAGTACAACTGGGTGAGTGACATGAGTATTTATTACTGTTACAAGTGTGAGAAGGGTTTCTTACGAGATATACACGGTGTGTTCAGGATCCGTTAGGACTCATTTTATTTAAATTTTGCCCTGCAATGCCATCTATTGGCGAGATGTGGCGTTAAGATTCTTGAAGTTTCAGCTGTTGCTGCCTATAATTTCAAAGCGCAAGTATGGCTGCATCATGTGTTCTGACCTTGAATATAACAGTACTGTTCTGACGCTCGTCGGAAAATGGCGGTTGAACAGAGCCAACATCAAATTTTGTTTGAAGTTAGGAAAAACAGCCGGAGAAGCTTACGAAATGATGAAAAGTGTGTACGGTAGTGACTGTTTGAGTCGCTCGAACATTTTTCGATGGTATGCTGTATTTCGTGACGGCAGGGAGGACATTGAAGACGCTCCACGTGCGTCAAAGCCGAGAACAAGTCGCACTGAAGAAAATGTGAAAAAAGTGACCGAAATCCTTGCATCAGACAGATTTGTTTCTGCAAGACTCATCGAGGAGCTTTTGGGAATACCAAAAAGTACTGTGCATCAAATTTTGACCGAGGATTAGGGTAAACGGAAGGTCTGTGCGCAGTTTGTAAGGCACGCGCTGTCAGACGATGAAAACATGCCAGAGTGGAACACTGCAAAGACATGTTACGGTCGGCCCAAAGTGATACAAAATTTACAAAATCGATTGTTACTAGTGACAAGACATGGTGTTTTAAATATGAGCCTCCCACAAAGCGGCAGAGAGCAGCGTGGTTGAGCCCAAAGAAGCCGAAACCAAAGAAAGTGCGCATGCAAAAGAGTCGAGTAGAGACACTGCTAACCGTTTTCTTCGATTCCAAAGAAATCATTCACAAGGAATTTCTTCCAGAAGGTCAAACAGTGAATTCTGATTATCTCGGAGTCCTCAATCGTTTGTGGGCGAGAATTCTTTGAATTCGACCTGAATATCGAGAACAAGGTTCCTGGTCACTCCTCCACGAGAATGCCCCACCCCACAATTCGAAAATCGTGCACGATTCTTTGGCCAGAAAAGGGATCTCAGTCCTTGATCATCCTCCATATTCGCCAGATTTGGCTCCAGCAGATTTCTGGTTGTTCCCAAAAGTTAAGTTGGCGATGAAAGGAGAGCGTCACGACACCATCCAGGACATCCAAAGGGAATGTACCGCAGTTTTAAATGCGATTCCACAAAAGGAGTACAGTGACTGTTTTAGAAAACTTTTCAATCGATTCCAGCTATGTATTGATTCACAAGGAGATTATTTGGAATGAAAATAGTGAAATTTTGAAAATAATTCACGTTTTATATTTTTAATGAACACAGTCCTAACAGAACCTGGACACACTGTGTATGTTCCCATTTATGAATTACTTTGAATTCTCTAGATAATTAAAAGTTAGTTTTAGTTTTTAGTTTAGTTCCCTGGGGTGGGGCGAGATTGAGTCCACTTGGTACGGCGGCCACTAACTGGCCTATTGTACCAGCCCCGCATGAGAGATGGTGAGTGTGGAGCAGTCGGTGCAATGAGAATTGGAAGGGGAAATCGAAGTACTAGGAGAAAACCTGCCCCAGAGCCACTTTGTCCACCACAAATATCACATGACCTGATCTGGGTTCGAACACGGGCTGCCGTTGTTGGAAGCCGGCGGCTAACCGATTGAGCTATGTCACGGCCGTAAGTAAAAGCTGCTTCAGCTGTTCTTATTCCATGTCATCGAGGGAGATATGAATGTGAGTTTGAAATTGATGCTCCTCGGTTCATCTGTCCTACAGCTTGCTGTCCTGGCGCCATGTAACGATAGATTTACGCAGTGAACATTTGCAAACAGCGAAAGAGCTGTACAGTTCTAGCAATCATTGTATATTATTTGTACTCATTTTATTTAACCACGTTCTGGAGCAGGCTGATATAGCTGTAACCCTTTAAACTTGTATTCACGAGATGCTCCGTTCGAATCTGGACTTAGACACCGACTGTTCTGTCTGACGGTTTTCATTGTTTCCCTCTGACCCGCCAGGACAGTACCCCGAATAGACCACGACCGCTTCATTCCAAATTCCTTCAAATTCATCATTCATTAATCATTTTATTACCGGACATTCTACAGCCTCGATACTGAGAACGTTGCTGAATAACCTACCGAAAGTTGAGCGCAGATTAGGATAGTAGAATGTTTAGTGAATTATTGGAAAGACGTAGAAGAAACCGCCAGAAGCCTAGTTTGATATAGACATTGCCACGGAATTTACCGGGAGATTTTGAGGAAAACTGCACATTCAGGATAGCCGGTCCGCGAACCAATTATTACATCCAGAATATCTGGAATGTTACCCATTCGACCATAACGTTTGATGGGCAAATATACATTTATAAATATATATACAGGAATATGGAAAGTGTTTTCCCATTTACTGACAGATGGACGAGGACGGAGGATTTCTTCTGCGCAACATGAAGAGCTCCCTGGAAGTGACGAGGCTTGATGACCTCACCGCTGACTGGATCATTTTAAAGTGTTCCTCTGTTGGTGAGTTCCACTTTTCCACACCTCCGTCCCCAGGTACAGCCATCGACATAAATATTAGACACTTTCTGAGCGATTTCCTTGCTTAGAACCGCCCGTATTCATAGTTTTGCCATGACTGAGAAATGCTTTTAATTCTTGATGTCGATGACTTCATGATGAAATGAGATATTTATAAAACGGATTCACTTGTTCCCAGATTCTTCGAACAGGTGTGAGAGAGCCTTCAGATTTACTGAGTGTTTCTGGGATGAAACTACAGAGGTAAGAAGGAAATGATAATCATGATTTACTGACAATTTTGCACACTCTGTTTCGCTATACAGTTCCAAATATCTTTTCAGTGAATTATACATTTCAAATCAAACATAACGTATATTGTTTGCTATTATTGCAGTTTGCAGAAGAAGACAGTTCCTCCTTTTACAGAATACACTGACTGGTGTATCGTCCTTTGTATAGAGATATAACACAATTGTGAGATGACATAATTATTATTACAAATAAGATGAAACTTGTTTGTTGATGTAAAGTACCGATGGTCATTACATACTAAATGTAAAAATTAATATATTTAAACATATAATAAATTAATAATAAATAAATTATTAAACAAACATATATAGTAATTATGAACATTTGTTATCCAAAATACACCGCATCACATAACAACTTCACCTTTGTAGTTGATAAGTGTAAATGTCCATTGCTTTAAAAATGATTAGCTTATCATTAATCAGCGAGCAGAAGACACACTCATGTTATAATCTAGTAGAAAAATGCATACATCAGGAATAATACTCATGTCGCTATTTTAGCCAACAATATCAGAACACATCTGATGATATTAGTTTAAACTGACATGTATCCCGAACATAAGAAATAATGTAAAGAGCCTGGTACTAAAAACGGCACATGATTTCTCTCATAGTATAGTTGTGGAACATGTAAACTCATATCGCGCTGTTGTAGTACAATACATGTAACTTGTTTACAATGTAGTTTGCCCAGGGTTCTGTTAACATGAGATTTGCAGCAATAGCTGAAAATACCTGCTTGCATTTCAAGCGCCTGGACGACGCTGTGAACACTTGTACATGTGACGAATCTTCTGTACATCCCCACGACTGAAACCCTTCCTCTGGCCAACTTCAACACCAGAGATCTGTAACAGGCAACGGTTTTCGTCTCAGAATTAAGAGGAATATAATGCGCCAATTTTAGCAAACAAATTCTGTATTGAAGAGTCCTATCGTCTGAGATATATCGCCGTGTAGCCCACTGAAAGTAAACCAGCTTTTCGGAGGAATATATCCCCTCAATAAGCCAAGCAAGAAACCAGCATAAAGCAGGCAGTAAGCAGGCTCTGACTTCGAAATATTTCCATGGCGTCATAGCCAGGAGACTGACGCTTCATGCCCACTGCTGTGAGAACCTGAAAGCCTAGAAATTCTGTATTTTCAACGGTAGAAATCGGAGCTATGTACACGAGTTACGAACTTCTTCGTGAACATAAACACAATAACATACAAGGACATAACTAAGACTACTTTTAATTTCTCTTGTCACTATAACCGTTACCGTACTTTGGGCACTATGGTGGGTCTGCTGTTCTTGGAGAAAGCCCCAGCGGAGTAGTGCATGACGCTCCTGTAGTCGTAGTCTACGCCTTGCCCATCTGCCACACCCTTTTTGGCCTTCTCGAAGTTATTCTGACGGCCTGTAACAGACACAGGCAGTCTGTACCCTCATATGATATTCAGGGCAGTGAAGGCCCCTTTAGGCTGTGCGCTGCTTTGTTTCTTTCCTTACGACCGGGTTTAGATTCCCGGAAAGGCAAGGAAGTGTTCTATTTGCTACCACGGCCACACTGACTCCGTGGCCTGTGCAACGAGTACAGAGGTAAAGCGGCTGAAGCGTGAAGCTGAGTACTCACCTCAATCTAGTTCGTGGAGCATAACGGCCACTGTCCCGTTACGCCTTAATGGCTTAAGAACAGACATAACATATATGCTTTATAATTCGATACTGATGATGAGGTTTTGTTGTGGTGTTCATGTGAGACAGTCCGTCAACTAGTTCCTGGAAGCACCTGAGGGAGGTACCTGCGTTCCTTGAAACATGGTACGAGCTGCAAGAATTCAGGTTGAACTCATACGTCGTTACAGCTTTTGAGTCTCCTATCATCAGCAAGACGAACCTGATGGCTTCAAATTTCGGAGGCAAAATATCCTAGTGAAAACGGGGTCCCGAAATTTTGTGTCGTTATTTTTTATATTATTTATGGAACACTTGAAGTGTAAACTCTTATAGAGGTTTAGCTACGTTTCGAGGCAAAGTGAGTGAATAAGCACTAAGTTTCCTTGCTCATTTCTTAGGCTTACTTCTTGACTATGAAGATGGAGACAGTATATTCCTGCGAAATTTCGGTAAACACCTGCAATTATCTTTTCAGCCTACTTTGTTTATCTTGTAAAAATAAAAGCTGGCTTATGCGATCACCATGCTGTCTGTGCTTCTGTGTATAAGCCTCCTCCCGATAACTCTGGATACCTGAACCAACCTTTATGAAACCTGATATGTATATCATGGCACCTGAACCCATCTCAACGGCTTAAATCCCTCCCGTTAGTCTGTGTGTCTCTATGTGTATCCCTCATATTGCTGGAAGGAAACAGTTCTGTTAGGTATATCCTTCCTTTCGGTGCTAGGCAACGGCTCGGTAAGTACGTTCCCGCGACAACGAGCACACATGCAACAATGGAAGAAGTGATGGACGCGCAACTTTCTATGCGGTCATTGTCTTATCAAAAAATGAGCATGTGTCTCTGCGTATCCCCTTATTGTTGCTAGGTAACAACTCGGTAAAGATACTCAAGCGGGAGCGAAGAATTGTAGGAGGCATCCTTTTCTATGCGGTCCCTCTCGTATCAAAAAGAAGTAGGCTATTAGTTCTTCCCAGAACTTCTTGTAATAATACAGTAAAGCACTGCTCGATCTTCGTAAATAATGTGTGTCCCTCTTACCGTTGCGAAGCATCGGCTCCGTAAACACATTACCGCGGCAATGACTACACACGCAACAATAGAATTATTTTTGGATACGTCGTTTTCTGTACGGTCCGTGTCTTATGAGAGGAAAGTATGCGATTAGTTCTTCCCGGAACTTCTTTTTATAGTGTGCAGTATGTAGTAGAATAATATCTTTGCGCAGGTCACGAACGCTGATTGAAGAGGAAATTTCTTCCAGCGTATTAACAAGAAAAGTGAAATTCACTGTTAATCATAATTCCCATTAGTGAGTGGGTGCGTTTTCAGAAAGTTGCCTGTAGCCTCAGTTGTACTGTACCTGGCTGGATGTTCTCCCAATGGATGGTGACGTATTTGTCTCTTTCATAGCGATTTTGTTCGTGCAGAAAGCCCACAGCGTGCATGAGCTCATGAACTGGGGTTCCCAGAGTGGTCAGGCAGCCGGGGCTCTGCAGATTCAATTCCTGACGGCCCCCGATGCGCCCCACTGAGGACCAGCAGCCAGTCCGTTCACTCGTGATGAACAGGTAGTCCCTGTGGTCGCGTTGTCGCGGTACGAATCGGATGCATGTTTTCTTGCGGTACTCCTCCATCGCTTTATTGATCATCGCCAAGTCAGCGTTACCTTGCAGACAGAATGAAGATTGGCGTGTTACCTCACGTTATACTCGGCACTGACTATTGTCTGGGGTAGGCTTGTGTTACATACAGAGTGTCCGTATATGTTGAAACATTTTCGGGAATAAATACGAGGGAACTAAAAAGCATATCCATATATATAATCGGTATCAGCAGAAAGTCAAATTATCAGAGATTTCAGAATTGGCGGTATATCTCCATATTACCTATCTTTACCCCCAGGCTCCGCAGTTTTCAGAAATGAATTATCCCATAGAGAAGATCTTTTGGGTGACTGAGTACACGAAAACAAATTCCTTCACCAGCGTTCAGCGGACTTTCAGAAAACGGTTTCGTACGCATCCACCTCCTCAAGCATCGATACAGAGGTGTTCTGACAACTTTGAGAAAACCAGGGATGCATTTGCAAGAAGAAAAGCAGTGGCCGTCCTCGTGTGAGTGGACATTTGTGGGGTCACGACACTGAGCGTCTATAGAGTATGTAAAACTTTCAGAGTTCGTCATTCAAATGGCACTAGTTTGTATAGCTGTAATACTTACCTTGGTAAACAAATTAAAATTGTGTCAATCATTTAAGGATAGGCTTCGGAAGCCGGTCCTTCTCCAGTCTTCATGTAAAAACCGACATAATTTTCTGTTACGTATTATTTTAGCGTTATTGGCAATGGTTGGAATTGAACAAGGAATGGTTTTGGTTATTAGACTAGTGCACTAACCGTTAGCTATGGGCTGTACGGCCGAGGAATCGTGGTTTAACTCCTGATAATGGCAAGAGATTTTTTGTTCTCCACAGCATCGAGACCGGCTCTGGGCCCCACCCAACCTCCTATCTAATAGCGGCCTCTTTCCCGGGGGAGTGAAGCTGATCGCTCACTTGCATCTACCGCCGAGGTTGAAAATACATAACTCTATATACACATCCCCCCCTCAAGTATTCATGTCATAGTGTTAATTGATCAAACTCACGAGCAGCTTGGCTTTACCGTTACACTAACCGATGAGGTCACCGCCTTTCCTTTTGCTCTTAGATCGGTTAATTCCAAAGTTATGCACTTGAGACCTCTCTGTATCAATTCCAATAATAAACGACGTTTCTATTTCGTAATTAAAATACAATTATCGTTGTCCATTCTAATTAGAACAGCGACAGAAATATAAACGATAAGTGATACTACCTCATAAACAGGCGCTATGTATCAATCATAACATGGAGTCACTATCGAGTGACTATAATTCCTGTTTAGTTTTCGGGAGGTCCCGGGATCTAATCTCGACTATCTGTACTGAAGTAATTCGTGATTTTCTTCGATCAGTCCAAAAAAAATGGACAAATTATTACAATATGTCACTACCTATCTTTCCACGTCCATTACAGTCCATAATTCTTTCACGCATCCTGCCTTTCGGAGCTGTAAGAAAAACCGTGGCTCGCGATCCACATCAGGCTATTTTAAACTGTTAGTTCGGATCACAGAAAAGAACATTAGTCAGTCACTTTCTTGCAACGGGATTAAACATGTCTGCTGTGTGGAAAGGATATACCTGAACACCCATGTTATTCAATCAAAGTTTGCGACTCACGAACTTCTGAATATTATCACATGTGGCTCCAAATTGCAGTGAGTTTTGTCACTCCTTCTATTGGTTATAAGTTAGAGACACTCACTGAAGTAGCCTCCTATCTCGTAAGGGATAACTCCTCCAGGCCAGCGCGTGGTCTCAGCTGTGAGTCCATTGCGCGAGTTACTTGTCTTAATGTCGCCTTCCAGATACAGACCCAGTTCTTCTGGGTTCACTTCGCTGTCGTTCCTCCAGGCAGCTACTCTCATTCCTGTTACAGAAGAGAAGAAACTTGTTTTGTAGTGAAAGCGATACTTGCAGACAGTAATCACTCACTCACGGAGCTGAGCCCTTCTTGAGAAGCCTCCAGTTATGCAACTACTCAAGAAATTCTCAGCATTTTGTGGAACCAGAAGGTTCATTATCCTCTTCACAAGAGCCCTCCACTGGTCTCTATCCTGAACCAGATCACTCCAACCCATACCATCCCATCTTATTTCTCTAAGATCAATTTTAATATTGTTCACCCACCTACGTCTTGGTCTGCTCTCCCATTCATGCTACATACCCTGCCCATCTCATCCTCCTTGACTGTTTGTGATTACTTGTAACCAGAAAGCATTTCAATGTGATAACTGGGGGCGGGGGAAGAAATTCCCTTCTTTACGCACAATGTTATCTCTCGTCTGACAGATTACTGATGAATGAATGAATGAATATTAAAATTTCCCTCACCCAAAGTGCAAGATTCAGTCGCCTTTAATAACGTCCGTTTCTTCTGTGCGTTAGCCAGCTTCAACAGGTCACGTATCTAATTCTCTGGTATGATTAATTTAAAGTAAATTAAATCGTGTTTTTAAAAAAAATTACTCGAATCTACTTCGAGATGAAGCATAATTAATTTATAATTGTTAACCATAAAAGAACAAGAGTCGATGTGAAGCGACTATTAGTCGCCAGATTTGCCTTATCATACTGTGACAGTAGTGTCTGTAATTCTCATAGCGGGATGTGGAGTACAGCTGGGTGCAGTCGGCACGTCGGCCACTGACTGCCCTATTGTACCTCCCCCGGGTGATTATGATTATGGAGAATTTGGTGGAATGAAGATTGTTAGGGGAAACCGAAGTACTTGGAGAAAACCTGCCCCAGCGCCACTTTATTCACCACAAATCCCACTTGACCAGACCTGGGCTCGAACCCGGGCCGCCGCTGTGGGAAGCCAACGACTAACCGCTTGAGCTATGGCGCGGCCGTCTATAATTATAGCCAACTGCATGGAGAAATATCCCTTTTGGAACGCAACAGTTGCTTCCTTGATAAAAAATGGTCCAAATGTTCATTGCCGTGTTCACAAGAGCTTACCACTTATCCCTGTTTTGAACCAGATGAATCCAATCACCACCCCTATATCTACTTATTTAAAATATGTGTTAATATTACACTTTTCCTGCGATTAGACCTCTCAATTGGCCTATTCCCCTAATAATTTCCGACTACAATTTTGTATAAATTTCCCATTCCTCCCACATGCCCGTCCATCTCATCCTCCTTGATATGATGGCTGTTAATATTTCCTACGTATGCAATTTTCTCCAACCTCGTGTTACTTCTCTCTTAGATTCAAATATTATCTTCAGCAACCTGTTTTGAATCACCCTCAAGCTGTGCTATTCCACTAATTTTAGAGACTAAATTTATGCAAATACAAAACAAGGGACATGATTGCACTTCACACATAATTTAGTTTTGACTACTTCAGAGAGCCGACGGGAAAATAAAATATTCTCTACTGAATGGCAGCAAGCTTAGTTTCATTGCTATATCCCTGTAACAGGCCGTGGAGACCCATAGGGTTGTGAGACGTCGAAGTTCCTTCATTTTCTAGACAATCGGCTCACAGATGGAGGTAAGTTTGTCAGTCTTACGCGCCGCCAACTCTTTTCATCCAGAAAAATTCATAGTACTCATTTCTATTCGAGGCTGATTCGGCCCCAGGGCCATAGTGCAGCTGGAAGGATTCAACTGAAAAATCCAGTAATCTCATCGGGAATCGAAACATCGATTTTCCGGCTTGTAGCATAGCCCCTTAAACAACTATTGTACCGCGTACGTTAGTAACTATTGGTCACTTTAGTAAGTGAGTAAAGTAAAAGGTAAAGCTATCCCTGTAACAGGCCGTGAAGGCCCATAGGGTTGTGAGACGTTGAGGGTCCCACATTTTCCAGACAATCGGCTCACAGATGGCGGTAAGGTTGTCAGCATTACGCGCAGGCCGCGCTTTACTCCCCAGGAAAATTATTTAATTAATTCCTGGTACTCATTTCTGGTAGAGGCTAAGTCAATCCCAGGTCCATAGTGCGGCTGGAAGGATTAGGTCAATTGAAAAAATCCAATGACCTCATCGGGACTTGAACCCGAGACCTTCCGGTTTATAGAATAGTGCCTCAAAACTACACTAGTTCTATCCTTAATGTTCTAAGGTCAATTTACTCTTGTACTTTATCTAGTGCTACGTACAGCATATGATTCATATACGTATGTATGTATATAAGCTATATACAGTGAAACAAACCTGCTTCCTTCGCAGCTGCTTCGTCATAGAGAATTGCCTTATTTTCAAGATCTAAACCGTTGTCCTTCAGCATAGGAAAGCAGTAGTTGGGGGTTACCAGCAAGAATAAGAACACTCTTCCCTTCTCCATACCTGCTGGATCGGCAAACACAAAAACAGTGTCTCATAAGCATAATGTAGCAGCAAGTGCACAGTGTAGACTGTGTGTTCATTTCAAAACTCCGTTGATATCAAAGTATTCGAGAAGTAAAACATTTAAATAGAACTACAATAACTAATCTATTAACATGTAATTTCCTTTGGCTACTTCTGTTAGAACATGCAAAGGCAGAAAATTCATAAGCTAAAGTTTTAAAACTATGAACAGAATCATAGAAGCAAAATTGTGAGCTATCTGGTGGCTTCCGGTATGTTTGGTGCGGTAATCATTTGATTCAGAAGCAATACCATAGACCTCACTCACTCAGTCATGGAGCTGAGCCCTTCTTGAAAAGCCGTCAATTGTGCAGCTACTCAAGAAATTTCCAGCATTTTATGGAACCCGAAGGTTCATTACCGTGTTCAGAAGAGCTCTCCACTGGTCCCTATCCTGAGCCAGATCGATCCAGTCCACGCCATCCCAACCTGTCCGATCTAATATTAGAATAATTACTCCAACATTCTCACATACCACTAAACAATCACTGTATTGTAGCACTGCAAGACTGAATAAGGTAGTAACTATTTGAAAGCTGGTCTATGTAATAACAACGCACATTGAGCTTTCCAAAAAGCTGTGGCGAGATTACTTACTGTGAAGGAAAAGTGAATATTCTGTGTGTCGGCACCTGACCTGATAAGCTAGGTGCAACGGCTATCTCGGCCTATGCCCTTCTTTACGGCTCACTTGCTGACGTCACGGTGCGATGCTGCTATTTTGGGAAAAGCGAAAACATAACGTTGAGATTGTTGGGTCTGAGATTATCTCAACAGTGACTAAGAAGGATACAGTCTTCTGGGTTGTAATTCCGTGTAGTTCGGAGAGAGCACGACGTTTCGGAGAATATATCTCTTCTACCTTCAGGATTTTAGAGTAAGCCAAGCAAGAAATGAGCAGAAGATGACGGCAAGTTGAGTTCCAGCTTTTGCTTGGCTTACTCTTAGATCATGAAAATGGAGGCGATATATTCTCCGAAACGTCGTGCTCTCTCCTAACTACACGGCATTGTAACCCAGAAGACCGTATTCTCCACTGTGTTGAAATTGTTTTAACTTTTGTCAAGTTCACATAAAGGTAAAAGTAAAAAGGTATAGAGTTAAGCACTACGCCATGAAGGCGTATGGGGAAGTGGATGTATAGAGCCACATTATTTTCTTGACCTCGGCATTAGACGGATATGAGTGGTCAGTTTCACACAGTTTCGCTTAACCCCTGGGGGAAAGAGCCCCCGGTACCCACTGGATAGGAGGCTGGCTGAGTCCAAGATCCGGTCTGGACAACGTGGAGAAGAGACAATTCTTGACCCTAACTTGACTCGAACTCCGACCTCTCGATCGTCCAGCCCGTAACCAGTCTCTGTACCGACTACGCTATCCCGACTCCATGGTCTTAACTTAGTAGTAAAAATTAAAATAAAATTTCTGCCTGAAATCGAATTCCTCTCGTCCAGTTTGAAACCAAGCCACTCTGCTGACTAAGCTGTTCTTTCACAGCATAAATGTATTTGTTATTGAATATTTGAAAAAGTCTTGAAGTAATGCATTAATATGTGTGACGATTCTGTGCAACTGTCAGAAAGAGATCAGGGTTCAGCCTTTCACAGGTTTGTCATCACTGTTCTTGGGCAACAACGCCCTACTGGTATCATGGAATTCAGGTTTGCTCCCGAGGCGGAACCTCACAACAAACATTACAAAACACTTCTTCAAAGATCAGCGAAGTTTAAACGAAGGCTTATGTGAGACAGTTCCTCTATCTTAACATGCATAATGCGACTACGCCAGGCTGATAATAAGACAGTTCACAAACATGTCTTTATTTACGAGCGAAAACACGCGTGTAACTCAAACAGGTTGTGCTTTCTGGTTTTTAATTGATCAAGTGTGTTTTACATAATATTGCTGCTTCGTATTCAGAAAGGCGGGGCACGCGGTTAGCATATTTAGTTGAGGCGCTATGCTACAAGCCGAAAGGTCGCGGGTTCTATTACCGATGAGGTGGATTTTTTTTAATTGACCTAATCCTTTCAGCCGCACTATGGCCTTTGAGTCCACTCAGCCTCTAACAGAAATGAGTACCAGAAATCTTCCTGGGGATTAATGGGCGGCCGGCGTATAAGACTGAAAACCTTACCGCCCTCTGTGAGCCGATTGTCTAGAAAATGTGGGACCTCGACGTCTCACAACTCTGTGGGCCTCCACGACCTGTTACAGGGATAGACTTACCTCAGATTTACACATTCAGAAAGGCCACGATCTGAACCCGAAAAGCACCTATCCTGATGCATAGAAATCCTCAATTAATTCCTTGCACTGAGTAAATGAAACTAATACCTAAAATAGAAGGCATGCCTGTCTATTGGTCCGTCTCACTTTTCAATTCTGAAGCTATCGAACAAAGTTTCGTTGAAATTATGCAGTAGCGCCTAATATATAGGGATGGTTTGCAACAGTTTTGCGATACTTACTCTGACATGCTTGAACTGATTTGATGTCGGGACTAAATACTTTAAGAAGACTGCGTCTATGGTTACCGTTCACGGTGGCCGCGCAGTCTGAAGCGTGAACTGTCTTCGCACGCTCAAACACTGGGATCGTGGGTTTGAATCCCACTTGAAGCATGTATGTCTGTGGGCGTTTATTTCGCGTTTGTACTGTCCTGTGTGCAAATAACGGCATTGAGACGTGCTGATCCCCAGCCCAAGGAGTCCTACCGAATGAGTAGAAGCTCAAGAAACTGATAAATCGGCCATGGTCCAACAAAGGGCTGTACTATGTAGTATACAGGTATTATATGTTTGTATGTGTGCCACGCGGCCGCGAGGGAGTGTATTTTTTTTGGCGGGTCTTTAGAAAAAGGAAGCAGCTAAAACTGCAAGTGAATTTGTATATTTTCATTATATTGAAGCTGTACATGTGTAAAGTAAAATCATTACTTTAACTAAAGAACAAAAAATCATGACTTCCAATTTCCTTAGAATGTTTAAATCAAAGACTATATATTGAGGATAGCAGGGACTGTAATTAATAACTGCATAACTTAGAGAATCACTTCTCTATGTACTTTCAACTAGTACTGGTTCCGACTAACACATTAAAATTTTCCGATAGACTCGGACAGATGTCCTTATGATCTACCTCGACAGAAGATTTTGCAAGTCTAGTTACAATGGTTCTTTACTTAACTCCATCAGACAGAAAACTGAATAGGCCTAGAAATAGTTTTTCCCCTTTAGCGCTGCAGCCCAATTTGGGCCTTGGCCTACCTTTATAAAACTCCTTTCATTTCTGTTTACTAAATTTTAGACATTCGGTAGGACTCCTTGGGCGGGTAATCAGCTCGTCGCAAGGCCTCTACCTGTACACAAACACAGAAAAACGCACACACACACACACACACACACAATTCTAAACATCCATGCCCTGAGTCGGATTCTAACCGACGATCCCAACTTTCGAGCGAGCGAAGAGAGTGCAAGCCTTAGACCGCTCGGCTAACGTGGCCGGCAGTGTATAAGAATAATATATATGAATTCAGTTCGTACCTCACATGAAACAGATCCGAACTCACGATCCCGGCTTCCGAGCAAGCGAAGACAGTGCATGCCTTAGACCGCTCGGCTACCGTGGTCGGCAATATAGATATTTTGCAGCAAAATTTATGCGGCCTGTATTTTTTATCTATTACCACACATTACTTTGACATTCTGTCCCAGTGCATTACTATCAGTCCCATCGCATCGTCAATATTGTTGTTCAGCTAAAATTTATTCTTGGGTTTAATTAATTATGTACCACGTAATTAAAGCGTACTGGCAGTGGAGGTATGTCTCCACCATTCGTAAACTCGGCACTATATACACGCGATGTTTAATTTTAACATACAGTGGAACAATTTAGCAAGGTAGACAGCACCTGATGATAGCCGTATACGGCCGAAACATGTAGTGATAGAGAAGTAGGACAAGATAATAAGTTGCATTTTTAGTCTGAAATATATGTATAAGAACTCCGTGGCCTGTAGCCCGCAAGCGAACTATACCGACCGAGCGACCGCCACTTGTCGGCGAAGTTAGTGCCAACTTTTGCGGATAGAGGGTGTCGCGTGGTCAGCGCAACGGTTCCCCACGGCCGTTAATCTCGGTTTTCTAGACCGGAGAAATATATATATATATATATATATATCATCATCATCATGAGTAATCTGTCAGACGACAGGTCCACAGTCTCTTCCAAAACAGTTTCTCCACTTAATGCGATCTTCTGTTTTTGGAAAGTGACTATCCAGGAAAAGTGATAATGTGGTAGTTTTTCCATTTGCTTTCCACATCGCAGTACAACAGCCGTTCAAACGACTCTGGTCACGCCTGTTGCTATACGAACTTGAACCATCTCGAGCATCATTTCCTCTGTGCTTCAAGTCGCTGCTGATGACGCTGCTTCCGACCCTTTGATCTGTCCAGCAAGGGAGGCCCTGCCCGTAGCTACGCTACCGCTGGTATAGCTCTCAGGGTCCTTGGCATACTCAAACCCCCTCACCACGATAAGGTGGAGACACCGAGGAGGATATATATATATATATAGTAAATATTGTACATTATGCAACAGGATGCTTAAATGCTATCCGTTAAAAAGCTTTCATATTTACGCCTCGTCATTTGCCGTGAATTTAAACACTGACCTATGCCACCCAGTTAGTAGTCAATGAGCTGGACTTACCGCCACGTGATCTTCTTTCAGCTTTAAGCTATGTGTTTTAGGGCGGCTACCTTTATACTACAAGACTGTTTGGGTGTAATTGGGGACATGACAGATAGCAGGCGATTAACACCGCACGGGCAGAGCCGTTTTTCTGAGTAAGCATTACGAAATTATTACAAGGAAAAGGAAAAACAGTCATAATTTTTAAAAATTGACTTTATTTTCTGGAAAGGGACGTCTACTAACCAACAGTGTCGGAAATAATAATTTACTGTCACCAATAAATGTCACTCCACTGGAAACATGAAAAAAAAAAAAAAGAGGTAGAAAGTTGACGATCTACGCTTCATTGACACCAACACAACGAACACCACTGAGTTGCCTGCATTAACTTCTTTATAACATAGCAGTTCTTAATTTGAACAAAATTTTTCTACTTATTTTGCAATTAACAGCGCGAATTTAAAATTAAAAATATATTGAAAAAAGTTAAATTTTAGAATGGCAATTCTTCTCAGGAAGTTATTGTTTATGTTCTTTGCTTCCCTTCTCCTTTATTCAAATTCGGATAAGGAGTGGGGGTGGAGTCCAGCTGGGTCCACTCGGCACGTCGACCACTGATTGGCCTATTGTACCTGCCCCTGGTGATTATGATGATGGAGACTTGGTGGAATGAATATTGGCAGGGGAAACCGAAGTACTCCGAGAAAACCTGCCCCAAGGCCACTTTGTCCACCACAAATCCCACTTGACCAGACCTGGGCTCGAATCCGGGCCGCCGCTGTGGGAAGCCAGCGACTAACCTCTAGAGCTATGGTCCGGTCTTTCTTCAAACTTAATTAGACATATGAATATCAGCATGGAGCAAGCATCTTCACTTGAGTGAAAATTAATTTTCAAAACTAGATAGACACTTCAGTTCAGAACTTTATACAGGCCTGAGCTCTAGGTTAGTCGAAAAGCATAGTTGATAGCAAATGCATATTACATGTCTGGGAATTCATTCACACATGTATCGCTGTTGGGGACGATAGTTGTGATGTCTTAAGGCACTGGACATAGCTTCCTTAAAAAGGACGCCCTCTAGAAACCAGTAGGCAGTGTACGTCTGCCTATATTTCCGTTTCTAGTTTGTACTTTCATTTGGGAAAGACAACTATGACCTGGAAATAGCTTCGTTAAGAAGAATGCGCTCTCGACCTCAGCAGTCGCCGTCTTCCTGCAATTTTCCCATTTCCAGCCCTGAGCTGCATTACTGAGACTATGCTTCAGGTCCTAAAATTTAATGTATATAATACCGACATTCTGTGCCTTTATCGCAGTCAACACTCATGTCAAGTCTTTCACGAACTGTTGCGTGAGAAAGTTTACCTCGCTTTTACTTGAGAAAGCTGCGATAACACTAATCACTTTCATGGTGTACGTTACCACATTTCAAAGTTTAATTTAAGTGAAAATATCGCCTGTAGTTGCTACATATTAATATAAAACTATTTTATAACTAAATGGAAAATGTTGTAGGGTCAACCTTCTTTTATTAAGAGTAATATATGTTCATGAAAACTTTCCTCTAAAAACAGCTTTAATGTAAAATCACGTCCATATACAACATGTTCAGATAATTGTTATAATGAACAGTCATCGATTTATTACATAGTCGCTTACTAACTTCATGGAGCTGAGCTCTTCTCGTGAAGCCACCAGTTGTGCAGCCACTCAAGAATTTTCGAACATTTTATTATTTCATTACAGGGCCCAAAAGAGTCGTCCAATAGTCCATACCCTGAAACAGTTCAACCAATCCATACAACCCGTTCCAGCTTCTCTAAGAGTCATTTTAATATTATCCACCAACCTACGTCTTGGTCTTCCTAGTGATCTGTTTCCTTCAGTTGAAAATCAACCGATGTTTCGGAGGAACATGTCGCCTCCTTCTTTAGGACTAAAAAGCAAGCCAAGCAACAAACCAGCGTGAAGCAAGCAGAAATTTCTCCATGTTGGTTTCTTTCTTGGCTTACTCTTCAACCCTTAAGATGCAGCCAATATTTACCTCCGAAACGTCCTTTAAATTTTACCTGACTACACGGCATTATATACCAGAAGACAGAAAGCTTCGTGTGCAATGTTTTTCGCTGTAATGCTGTTTGTTAATTAAATTGGCGTTTCCCTGACTAATAATATTTTGACCATGGTATTTATGTAAACCACACGCCTATACTAAAACGTTTTCTGGTTGAAAAAGGGAAAAGCCATGTCTGTAACAGGCCGTGAAGGTCTGTAGGGTTGTGAGAAGTCGAGGATCCCACATTTTCTAGACAGTCGGCTCACAGATGGCGGTATGGTTGTGAGCCTTAATTTCTTGTTCCAGTACATGAATCTTGAATTTTTTGTCGTTTGTTATGTTGCATTCATCTTATCTGCACGATGCAATCGAACTGACGCAGCGTGAAATATTTGCGCTATAGTGTGCCGACAGATCGGATCACGCGCTAGTTGCAGATAGTAAGCGTACTACGTAATTCTGTCGTTAGGAGGATCTGCTAAGAATTCTTTCTGCTGTAATTTTCATGAAAAATTTGTATTTAGAGGAGTTTCTTGAAACGTGAATTTTCTTCCCCCCCCCTTTCCCTAGTAATGGATGCTACTATGTTATGAGTGGGTGGTGAGCACTTTGAGCTCCTAGTATATGAAATAACATCGCCATCTGAAGTATGTGAGATCAGCCTTCAACACAGATTCAGTTATTGGGTTATGAAATAGTCAGGCTCGACAACAGGAATAGTTACATTGATAATTACTTTTCGTATTTTCGTTAATGCGTTTAAAGAATTCGCTGCAAGGAATCATCAAATACATATTGGAGAATATAACAACATACAAGAAAAACGGAAAATAGCGTAAAGGAAAGTGGAATTTGGAGACTCGCGACTTGAGCATAAAAGAAAGAGAGAGAGAGTGTGAGAGAGAGGAGAATAATTACCAAAATTGTTACTGTGTGAGGTGGTAACACTGTCGCAAAACAGTACAGGACGATGTCTTCAAACACGTGGCCAGAGATTTTAAGTGCAAAAAGTGAAAATCGACATGAATTAAATCTTTCTGGAGCAGCAGTATCAAAGAAAATAGAAGAAGATGGTTTGGACAAGGCGTTGTTTTCATTTTCCGGTCTTAATTACCTGTGTATTAGCCAGACATGCCTGGATGTGTTGCCAGAAGATATTGGTAACCTAACAAATTTGACAAATCTTGTTTTGCATTCGAATAAAATCCGGAAATTACCTACCACTTTGGGAAGACTAACAAACCTTAAAATGCTCGACCTCTCACGAAATAAACTTGAAGCAATTCCGAATGAGATTACACAGTTGTCACAATTGTCGACTTTGAATGTATCATCAAATGTATTAAATGGTTTCCCATGCATGTCTGAAAATACGAAGCTAAGTATTTTAGATCTATCCGGAAACCAGTTTGAGGAGTTCCCAGACATTTGTTACTCAGATCTGGTACATCTGGCTGAAGTGAAACTGAGTAGTAATAAATTAAAGGAAGTACCACCAGCTGTGAAGGAACTAAATTCGTTGAAAGTTCTTGATCTTGGAGACAATAGTCTGACATCTGTACCTGGTGAAATTGCGGACATACACAAATTGAAAGGCAAGTTTTAGCATTATTTTAGAAAATGTACGAAATATTACAAATATGAAACAAGTTAAGTTGTTTGCATTTGGTTGTGTTACAGTATGTTACATATGGTTTACCATTATCATTTAGAAGATTTGTGTATGATGGCTGTGATAAGTAGTTTAAATAAATGTAGTAACCTTTGAACAAGATAAAGTGAACTAGATGGATCATCACTAGCTCCACGGAATTAAAAAAGGTTTCCTGCAAGGATAGAATTGAACAGAACATAAACCATTGTAAGATACTTAACCTTGTAACCTGTCAGAAGGAATCTAAAGTACTTAACTTAGTAAGGTCACAATTCAGATTTCAGTGGCAGTTAATTAGGCTTATTCCTTAACCTCTTTTCAAATTTAGCTGATGTATACAAACACTGGCATAAAGGAGTAAACTGTACCTTCCCCTGCCTCCTGACCTATCCTATCATGCCCCATTCATCAATAAGAATTTGCATGAAATAGTATGGGAAAGCTGCCAGTGACAACACTAAAGGTGTCTGTCACTTCCTGCACAGTATCAACTTTGCCAATGGTGAATTCATGCATCTAGTGTTAGTTGCATCCACTCTCCTACCATTCAGCTGTGTGCTTGTAACAACAACTGAACTAAATCGAACCAAATGGTGTTCACTGAGGCCAGTGGAGTAGAAAAGAAACTAGGGAAGTTTTAATTGCCTGACAAGTACTGCTACTTCCTATATGTCTTGAGGAATTTTGGTGTTAAGTTACCTTTTTATTTTATTTTAATTTAAATTTATTTTAGTATTAATTTTCAAGTCATAAGCACAGTCTGTGCCATGAGATGGGTGGTAAAGTACTTTGGGGTCAGTGACCTTTAGTTGTTTCCAGGCTAATGTAACTGAATACTCTCTTGCTGAAGAGTCACTCCATTCCACAGTGAACCTGGCCCCTTCTTGCACGTGGATTCCCACAATCATTCCTTTTGATAGAAAAGAATGATAGTTGGTAGTCACTGTTATTCCATTTTGCAGGTAGTCAGTATGGATGCACCTGTTGTCTCAGAGGATGGTCACCACAACTGTCTGCAGAGGGTTTACTAGTCACATTCTTTCATGTAGGAAAACTTAGGTGTTTCTTCTCTTGTAATGCTGTTTTGCTTTTCAGTGTGTAGTAGTGTACCTAAATTTTGTAACAAGTTGCTGCCCTGCCCTGTGCTGCATGGTTTTGCGTGGTGATTAGAATTGCAAGCATCAACATGCAGATGTTTTCATTGGTGATAGCAGGATGCTTTATACCAGTTCTGATATCAAGTATAGACTTCTACCCAAACAGAGAAATTTGTCTGCCATTCAAACCTCTTTGATAAAGACACATCATTTTGAACATTGCTGAGTTTTCACACTGCATATATCGTCAATAATGAGAAACTTCATTTATCTGTGGCCTATTTAGTAACATTGTTAGTAACCCGGACTATGTAACTTCGAACGGTAGGGTGAGTAATGATCAGTTACTTAGAAAGGCTGTGGAAGGAAGCAGCCATAGCATAATTTGAAACACTATTCCTGCAGTTGTGTGGGGGTCTGAGGAAAACCATGAAAATCATAGTGAGTACTGTCAGTATCCAGGCAAAGTTTGAAACTGGGCACCACCCAATGCTTGTGGTGAGAGAAACTTTGTGGACAGCATTGGCACGTGTACATATGCTTGCTCCAACATCATTTAGAATAACAATGAAAGTAATTTAGTGCTAGAACTCATACTTCCATCAGATGCATGCAGTGTGGAATGTACTAGGTCTTATTTCATTCAGAGCACCAAAGTATGGAATAAAACTGCTGAGTCCTATAGTTTATTGTATGGTTCTTCTAGGTCCTAATGTTATTTGTAATTTTAGTGTAAATAAATTACTGATGTCATCTTTTCAGTGTTTTAAAGCTGAGAATTTCAAGTGTCAGACCACCATCGTTTCATTTTCATGTTAAATTATCTCACAGTCCGTTACCATCCTCCAAGCTTACAATGCTGATGTTGAATTCTTGTCCTAATTATGGAGTGTGTTCTTTACAGAACTAAACCTGAAGGGAAACAAGTTAAGTGACAAGCGTCTATTGAAATTAGTTGACCAGTGCCACTCGAAGCAAGTGCTGGACTATATAAGGCAACACTGCACCCGCTCCAGCTCTGGGACAGACACTTCAGCTGCTGGCAAGGGAAAGAAGAGCAAAAAGAAGAAAGAACCTGCAGATAGAAATCATGTAGAAGAAAATGTAACTAACTCAGCAAATTGATGCCCTTACCCATAGGTTGAAGTTGTTATTATGATGTAAAGTAAAACATGTATTAGTGTTATTTTGGTAGTTATGTCATCATTTTGCAATAATATGTGGGTGCCTACTAGTTTTGCTTTGCCTGTCTATTTTTCTGGACTAAAGAATAAATTTTGATCATATTTTGATAGTTAGCATCATCAGTTTTTATGGCTGAAATTTAATTTAATTCAATATGGGTAACATAGACTGGTTGTAACTTATGTAACTTAACCAGGAGCTCTGGGTAGAAGTTGTAAAGCTTACATATTTATAATCCAGTAATAAAATGCAGTTTCCCCCATGGGCTAACATGTTACAGTTCTACACAGTTGGTCATAAGATTGAATTGTAGTTGTTTCAGATTTGTTCTTCTGTTCGTAGTTCTAAATATCTTACAGGTTATTATCATGTTTTGTGGAAGAACTTATCGTTTAAATACAGATATTGCCTTGCCATGCTTATTGACTTAAAGTAGTATTTCATATGAAATTTGTAGGTATGTTTATGATTTATCTTCATTTTGAATTTCAAATGCCTAGCTCCAGTGGTTAATTATTTATTGTCAGCAATCCAGCAGCTAAATACAGAGTTCAAGTAGTTGCCATGTTGTTGACTTACAGCCTGTGAAAAAGATTCATACTAAAAGTTGCATGTTTTACAAAGGCCTGTTACTGTACATCGTGGTGCTGGTGTCACTCCCACCTCAGAACTTTGTGCATCTGCCATGTTGTTTTTACTGATTGTGGAACATGTTTTGTGGCCTCTAATGATGTATTGGTCATGCCAGATTTAATGAAAGTTGGTAGTTTGGTTCAAAGGTTAGAAGATGGGAAGGGGCAGCTACAAGAAGGTAGCCGCATAATATCGTATGTGCTTTTCCCCATAAAGAAAGGAAGATAGGCAAAGAAATGTTGGATACAATTGTAGTCACTAATTACTGGATATTTAAGATTATGTAGAGTTTCTAACGAGTGAATGGGGGTGGCAGATGATGTATTTGTTTCTCCTTCCAGTATGTGCGGTACCACTGTACCACGAAAGTAACATTTTTATTTTATTTTTCATAGTGTTAGCAGGACTAACACTGGCACTAAGAGCTCTTTTTATGAGGGTAAAGTGACTTGAGTGTGAAGCTGATCATTCAGCTCCATCCAGGGCTAGGGATGAGAATATGTAGAGCTTCACCTCTGTTCTCCTTGTATGCTTTTGTGGCATGATGCCTCACATAGGGACAATTTATCATGTTAGAAAAATGACTGTTGCTACTTGTGTAAGAGTAGCTTGCTCTTGTAGTTTAACTGACATTTCCAAATGCCAAGCATCTCCTATTGTTCAAGAGGTAATGTTTTGTTACTTACATGAGGTGGGAAAACTGTGCCACAAGCTGGAGGTCACTCATGTGAAGGAGTCTGTGCCGTCTGTCGTGCTAGATGAAGCTGTGAAGGATGTGAGACAGCATATAGTCTGCTGCATCATCACGGGCATCAATTTTGTGCAGCATACATTCAAGAAATTCATCCAGCTCCAGGTAATTCATAATATAAATATGGACCACATATATTGCTTTTATTGTTATATTATATATAATATATGCAGTTTTATAGTCTCCTTTCATGTTGTTTGAAGAAAGGTCCATTTGTAAGACCTTTTTATTTTTTTTTTTCATATATTAACTTTCAAATCAATAAAACAATGTAAGGTAATAGTGGTTAATGGTTAGTGTATTTAATGCAGTGAAAGGATTAATTAAAAGAATATGTCATAAACAAAGGTATGCTGTTTTTGAAAATGATTTAACGTTTTACGTGACTGCTGTTTGCTGTTAACTATTACGTAAGAGTTGGTTTTAATTGGTAATTGACTTCAGGTTGTTTCAGCAAATTCATTAGTTCTCATTCCATTGATACTTTGCCATTTATGATTGTTATTCCTGAGTTTATGTTGCTGATATCCTAGGGATTAGTTTAATTTCCTCTTATTTGTTTTCTGAGTTTAATTGTGTATTAGAAGGTTTTCCTGACAAGCTGAGGCAAATTAAAATGTTCAAGTTTAACAACAAAGTTGGTAGAGCTTTTTTGGGGGTGAGGGGAGACAGAAGAACAGAAGCTGAAGCACACAGTTGGCTACAGTTGCTGTTTCATGGTCCAGTTAGTCACATCTTCAGCAAGATGCTGTAGTTTGTGGCAGACAGATCAGTGTTTTGACAACATGAAGTTTCATTAGAATTATTCTTGTGTTATGCCTTGAAGGTGACATGACATGCCTTCTTAACCCAACTATTGATAGAAATGAGTGATCAGTTTCACACTTCAGCCTGGGGAACGTGTTGCCTGCTACACAGACCACAGAGCTGTTTTAAATGTGATGCTAAAGAGAAAAATCTAGTGCCCTACCATAAAATGAGCCTGAGACATTGAGCACATAGCCTGTGATTTCACTAATTCAGCTGCGTCACGTGTATTTACATTCATTACAAGTGATTTTGAAGATAAAAGAGATGATGGCAGATAATGAATTTCCAGTCCAGATATCCTTACAATCTTGCACATGAAGGGTTGCATCATTTTTAAAGAAGTTCTCTTTCATTCATTTGTCCAATCATTCTGTGAAGGTTAGGCTGGAATATGGTTCCACCGGCACAACGTCGTGTGGTGGTTTTCTGCAATGCTACCTTCCTTTTGAAAAATGTTGAATTAAGTCTTTGGAATCCTTCCACCATCCAGTCATAAAGATTTTGCCTTTCTGCCTGATCTTATGTGTAATGAGTATATATTATCTTTTAAGAGACGGGCCATTTAAATTCCCGTAATGGCAGCAGGCCGGAGTTAATTTAAATGCCCGCCATTGTAGAGTGTTAAAAATTGTAAGCATGTTACTGAAAATGCTGTGATTTCTACAACTTTATAGTAAATTAAAATAATAATAATAATAATGATAACACTCGTACATTAATTTTAATGCTCACACACCTTAATACACTAATCCCACTGTCCCGGCACAAGACACATTGCAAATTTTGATATCCCTCAAGAAACCCATGCAAATATTACCCTGTCACAATGACCTAATTCATGGAATAAATAACAAAGCTAAACAGTAGACATTCCCATGATTTGCACTAATATTCAACAATCTACAAATTAATTATTTTTAAAATATATAGTTACGAATGACAAGTACTAAGACTTTTCCCTAAACAAGAAAAACTTGTCTATACTATAAAAACAATGATCAAATAGGAATTTTTTTCAAAGCATTCTTAAACTTATATAGTACTAGTATCTCTCTAAAATAATGTGGTACATGATTTAACATACAAAGTCCAATGTTATTAAAGTTGTTTATGCATGGACTAGTATTACATGGAACAATAAACAAATCAACTTTATTCCTAGTATTATATGAGTGTATTCTTGAAGATTCAAATTGGATTTTTTTTCCTTGTATTATATGAGTGTATTCTTGAAGATTCAAATTGGATTTAATGTAAACTAAAATTTCATATTACAACCGCACTTCGGCTGTCACTTCTCGCAGCCGTTGTTCGCCACTTCTTGTGACCGTTGCCTATCTATCTTTATGTTTATTTATTTGTTTGCCCGCTTCGGTAGAACACTTGACTCATTTATTTGCCCGCTTCGATAGAACACTCTTGACTCTTCTCAGGGTTGTGCCACGGTAATAACTGGGGCAACGTGGAGACTGCACATTTAAAGCTAGTCCACTGATAGAAATAAAATACTCTATTTCTGCTTAATCACAATATTGTTTAATTCAAAAGCAAACACTATATCTTTATTGGCGAGTAGGGAGTAATGTGCCCTTGTTTATTATCAAAGATTAATCGAACCAAATAAAGTATGAAGAAAGTAGTCTTCTGGGTTTAGGCACCGTGTATTCTTCGTTTTGGCCGACGTTTCGGAGGAACGTAGCGCCTCCATCTTCAGAGCAGTTGAATNCCTTTAGCGGTCACCCAAGCTGCAGGTAACGGAACAAGGCAGTTGTTCCTGTCTAAATGCGAAAAGCATGTCAACTTCTTAATGGATGGGTCTCCCTAATAAATCAGTCACTCTATTGAAATGGCTAACGAGGAACATAGCGTCCATTAAAGAGCATTAAAAGGTTTGGACGGTTACAATATATATATAAACATGGTAAGGGTAATATGTGTAAATATTTAAAATATTGTTTGGAACTAGTAGTTTCTGGGATTTGCATCATAGCTCTAATAGCTCTTTTCTGCAACCTAAAGATCAATTTTGCATTTGCTAAATTACCCCAGAATATCAGTCCATATAATAACAAGGACTGAAAGTAAGCATAATACAAAGTACGAACAGTCTCCAACCCTAATACTCTTTTGGCTACTCATAAACCAAAACATATTTTACATAACTTTTTTGCCAGTTCTTGAGTATTTATAAACCAGCTTAAATTTTTATCCAGCCAAACTCCCAAGAATTTTAGCTGTTCTGACAATTGAATAACTATCATAGATCTTTGTTAAAGGACATTTAAAATGTACTTTTGAGGCTGGTGAAAGGATATTGCTATTGTTTTCTCTTTGTTGATAACTAATCTATTCCTATCAAACCACTGTAAATATATTTATTATTTCATTTATTTTACTCTGGACATTATTAGCACTATTTCCTTCAATAAAGATACTTGTATCATCAGCAGAAAACGTTGGCCTTCCATGCTCAATGCAGGATATATAGCAAACAACACTGGTCCAAGAACAGAGCCCTGTGGAACACCGTATCTTAGGGTCTCTTTCACGATAAACAGTTAATAGTTCTGTTGGTTTCTTTACATCTATGTATATGTAATTTCCACAATCTGTTCTCTGTTTTCTAAATATGATTGGAACCAATTTAAAGCTACCCCTCATATTCCCATTCCTGGCATTTTCCATAACAAGATATTGTGATCCACTAAGTCAAACTCTTTTGACAAATCCAAAAATAACCCTATACTTATTTCCCTCTCATCCAGAGATTTGTAGACCCTGTTAATGAACTGCGCAATTGCAGTATTCATTGATTTCCCTTTGCAGAAACCACGCTGTTTATTATTAATTATACTAAATTTATTTAAAAATGATGAAAGCCTTTTATGCATGATTCTTTCAATTGTTTGTGAAAAACAGAAATTAGTGAAACTAGTCTATAATTCCCAACATCTGTATCAGGTCCTTTTTTATACAAAGTTTTCAGTTTTGCAATTTTTAGCTGGTCAGGAAAACACCCAATTAAGAGTGACGAATTTATTATATATGTCAAAACAATTATAATCCTAGGATAACATTTTTTGATAATATGCTCAGAAATATCTATACCCATTGATTTTTTATTATCCAATCCTTTAATTATGCCTACCACTTCCACATCAGTAGTTGGAGTTAAAAACATGCGTCTACAATTATATTTTATTGTATTGACACTAACTTCAATATTTCTTAGTAATAAATTATTGCTCAGAATATTATGGGCAAGACTAGTGTAATAGTCATTAAAAACATTGGCTATAACTTTTGGATCCTGAATATTTATGCCATTCACACTTAATTCAATATTCCTAGTTTCTTTTTTTCTGTTTACCTAGTTCCTCCTTGATTAGGTCCCACATAGCTTTTGATTTATTCCCGGACATACTATATGTATTTGCGTGTTATTAGTTATTTTTTGGCCTCACTAATAACTTTATTATATATTTCTTTGTACTGACAATAGTATTTTTTAAATTCTTCTGATATATTTGCTTCCTTCATTAGTCTGTTAAGAAACCTAAGTTTGATACTTGATACTGTTACACCTGAGGTAATCCATTTATTTTTTAGCTGCTTGATTTTTACCCTTTTTCTAAGCATAGCTATATTACAGGGTGGGGTGCAGAAACTTCCTTTTTTTGAAGGCGAATAAAAGAAAAATTATTGCAGATAGACAAAATTTATGTTTAGCTAATGAAAGAACATACTTTAAAGTTTTAAATCACGTAGTTTTAAACAAAATATCTTGAAGGTGGTGACCACCGTTCTCTGTGCACTGATGCAACCGTTTTCTGAAGTTCCCCTCTGCATGTTCCAACATGTGCACCGGAATTTGGGCTACTTCCTCCCGAATAACATTCTTCAGCTGAAGCAGGTTTCTGAGGTGATGTTTAAAAACCTCTGCCTTGAGGTATCCCCATAAAAAAATCACAGGGCATTAGATAAGGTGAGTGCGCTGCCCACGGGATGTCACCTCGAAGTGAGATGAACCATCTGGGGAACTTTGCCCTCAAAACTGTCATCGAAGCTCGGGCTGTGTGGGCTGTGGCACCATCTTGTTGGAACCAGACAGTTCCTAGATGCATTTCTTCAAGAGCTGGTTTGAAAAAATTTTTAATGATGTCCACATGATTGTCTTCTTCAAAAAAAATAAGGGCCAATAACTCCAACTCTCGACAACGCACACCATACTGTCACCTTATCACTGTGAAGTGGCCTCTCATGGAGCTCTCTGGGATTGTTACCACTCCAATAGCGCATATTCTGCTTGTTGACATATCTGGATAGGTTAAAATGTGCCTCATCGCTAAAGAAAACAAGTGCCTTAGAGGGTAAAGTTTCCAATAACGTTTCGCACGCCGTTATTCAGTTCTGGAAATCATGTGGTGACAATTCTTGCACAACAACCACCTTATAGGGATGGAAATTAAGATATGTCTAGGGCGACTGCATGTTTGCGAGCGGAGCATCTTGGAGATCTCAAAATCGACTGTTGAACTGCCTCCAGATTGTCTGGCATCATAACGGTCTGTTGTTGTCCTGATGATTTTTTCACCACACTCCCGGTTGTCCTAAAGTTCTCTACCCACAAAACAATTGATTTCCAGTCGGGAACTGGACCTCTGGTCTTAATTCCGAAGTGAGTATGGAACGCACGCTGCACCACCACGTAGGAATGGTTGTTCGAAAAATAGGCTTCAACAGCAAACACACGCTGCTCACTCATCCACCTCATGTTTCCTACTGAGGGGTATTAGACAGAAACTTCCACGACTGCTGCGTTCACCAAGCCTATCTCCACTTTTCTGCGACCTCCCCCCCCTTCACAATGCGTCTTCACAAAAAGGAAGTTTCTGCACCCCACCCTGTATAATAGTACTGAAAAATACCTAGAAATTCATTGTATGCGTCGTTCACTGAAGTTTGCTCAGAAACAAGCTCCCAAGTGTCTTTCTGTAATAAATAATTTAAATACTGAACATTCTCTTCCCTACAAGAGCTAACAGTTCTAAATTCTTCTTTGACAATAACTAGGCTCTTTTTCTTCTTATACTGCATCTGTACATCTAGTATTTGTGCATAATGGTCAGAATATCCTGTCGTGATCATCTTAAAGTTGTAATTCCACAAGGACTTGTTTAATATTATTTGATTTATGGCTGTTTGACTTCTTGATCCTATTCTCGTTGAGACATCCACTATTGCTTGCAAGCCATATGAATTTAACATTGTCTGCAGTTGTAGATTTATGCTTCTGCCCAAGAAATCTATGTTGAGATCACCAAGAATAATAATATTTTTCCCTTCATTTATTAATTTACTAAGCATAGTATCCATAGTTTCAAAAAATATATTAATATTACTATTAGGAGATCTATATACAGAAATGATAATTTTATTAAACTGGGTTATTTCAATTATACTGGTCTCGAAATGTTCTTCTTGATTCAGGCTCCCAAACAAATTATGAGGCTTTGCTTCTAAATTTGTTCTACCATAAATACATGAACCTCCGTGCTGTTTATTTTTCCTACAAAATTTCGACACAAGGGAAAAGTTCTCAAAATTATAATAATCAATTTCATTTTCCCCCATCTAGTGTTCGGTAATGCTACATATGCTACAGTTGTGTTCAAAAGAGAGTCCCAGAGCGTGCAATTCCATAAATCAAACATAGGAAATACTATAATATTATATTTAAGCATCCTGTTGCACTCTGTACGATAAATGATACAAACTCCGTCCTAAGTGCAAACAATATATATTTATATGTCTTTGATCTTGTTCTTTCTACACTACATGTTTCGGCCTCTATCGGCCATCATCAGGTGTATACTCTTAACGTTGCTGCCACACTGAACCCAGTCTAAAACTTAACATTTAAAAACACAATGTCACATTCTTCGTATTATCAACATCTACATCGTTGATATGTGTCTGGTATGTAGATTATGTTGCACACGTCAAACCCGATATTCTTGTAGTAGCACTCTNAATACTATATTGAAGGTTCATTATTTCCTGAATAAGTAACAGTAATAGAAGCACAGAAAGGGTTGTGTGTGGCTAGGCCATATTTTTCCTTCTCCCCTCCCAGTCCTTCTCTGCCACCCATACAATATTCTGCTACTGTTTCCCCTTGCCCTTCTCAGTTTGGGGCAAGTTATGTGCATTAAAGTGAATGCTAGTAATTGAAATGTTGCCCAGTTAATTACATTAAAATGAAATCACATTTTCAAACTTTCATGATCAGAATTACATGTATTATTATTCTGTCAAGTTAAATTAGTAAAAATGTAGTTTTCTCATGACAGGAGGTGGGAGAAAACTGCATAATGAGGAGCTTCATAAATTGTACTCTTTTCCAAGTATAATTAGAATGATCAGCTCAAGGAGGATGAGGTGGGCAGGGCATGTAGCATGAATGAGGGAGACGAGGAATGCATATAGGATATCGGTGGGAAAGCCAGAAGGAAAGAGACCACTGGAAAGACCAAGGCATAGGTGGGTGGACAATATTAAAATGGATCTTAGAGAGATAGGATGGGATGGTATAGATTGGATTGATCTGGCTCAGGATAGGGACAAGTGGAGGGCTCTTGTGAACATGGTATGAACCTTCGGATTCCATAGAATGCTGGGAAATTCTTGAGTAGCTGCAGAATTGGCAGCTCCTCCAGAAGGGCTGAGCTCCATGAGTAAATAAGTAAGTAAGTAAGTAAGTAAGTAGTTTTCTCTCCATAACTTTTCATGCTATTGCGGTTAAGTATTGTCATGTGTATGTGTGACTATAGATGGGGTTTTGGATATGAGATTGGATTTATTAACCACTTATAGTTCATAACTACAAATCACTGTAACACTATTCCTAATTTCCACGCTTTACAAATCGCTTCTAACAATGGGGATTCTTCAAGTGCACCAACCAAGTCTTTTCTTCACAATTGCCATTACACCACTCTCTCTTACAACTGACTAACTTCTAAAACTTGTCGTGGTTATGACATCTCGGCACAGACCGAGTAGAAAACACTGTATATTGTTGTACTCCAGTTGTTTCCATGGGTACGTGTTCATTTGTGAAGGTATTTCTCAGTAACATCTTTGTATACTTGCTTATTAAGAATCTGTTGCATAGCAGAGAATGTTGTTTTGTTTTTTCAAGTTCCTTACCCAGTGACGAGTCTACACACTACAGTATTCTTGAAGAAGGTTCTTTTAAAGTTTCCCAGTGAAATTACAGTGGGCTTTGTGCTAGTTAAGCATATTTGTGATATAATAATCATAACAAAAGGAAACATGTTTTATGAATCTCTTATATAAATTTATTTACCATGTAACATACTAGGCCATCATTTAGTTTGATGGATATCTTAATATTATTTCCATACCATAGTAGCATGAAAATGAAGATTTGAAGTCTTATAGTAGTGCTGGTCTACGTCACAATTAAAATTTGTCTGAAATTGTATAAAGGTAATACATCATAATGCCTTTGTTTTGCAGACAAAGCTGCATGACACAGTTTGTGAGAAGCGCAATGCAGCAACCATAGCAACTCATGACTTAGCTTCATTGTGTCCTGGGAACATTGTCTACACTGCCTGTCCTCCAGACAAGATCAAGATTTGTCCACTGGGAAGAGCAAAACATCTAACAGGCTCTGAATTATTTGCTCAGCTACAGCAAGAAGCAGATGAACTGCGAAAGGAAAAGAAGAGGAATGTTTACACTGGTATCCACAAGTAAGAATACATGTGAATAACTTAAATGTGTATCATTGGATTGTAAGATTTTGAGATGAAATTGCACTGAGAGGAAATTGGTCAAAGTTTGTTGGGGTGAAATTGAATTGTCAACATATATTCTCAAGTGGTTCTTTGGTAGTCATTTGAGTAACAGAAATCAAAATACAGTATCTGTGAGTTGATGAACAACTTTGAAGCCTAAATTCTTGATCCAAAATGTCATTACTGACAACAATTTAGTAAATTATCTACTTGTGAGCTGGGATAGCTTAGTCTATATATGGAATTTAGCCTTTATGGAAATTTTAAAACAATCACAAAATGCATTATATGAACCATAAATTTGACCTTAAAATCTTTTGAAATGAAGAATGGAAAACAGCATACTCAGCCAGAACTATTTTTTAAGGAAATGATTATTAAGAAATTCAGTAATAAAAGTTCCCGTTGTAGCAGGATACTGTGTAGTTATGCGCATGCTTCGGTAACTGGTAGCCGTGGATGCTATTTCCATTTTGCCACCACCAATTCACATACTACTCAAAATTTGTAGTGAATGAAGTTTGCTTTTACCTTTATTTTTGTTTGCCTGCTGTTATTTCTAACATGTGAAATGTGTATATTTATTACAACTACGGATTGAAAATACACCCATAGAAATGCCTCTCCAAGAGAGTCAGTGGAAAAATATGGTTTTCATTATGGAATTTCATGATATGGATGCTTTTCTAAGAGCACATCCCTTCTCATCCCTTCTGTAATGCTAGAACATGCTTTCTGTGTGTGTATGTGTCTCTTTCTTTATACACATATATCTGTGTATGTTTAAAGTATGCTACAAGGCAGAGTAAGTATTGAGTAAATGAAATTTATAAAATGTCATGAAAAATATGTTCATTCAAATAAAAAAGTTTCTGTTACAGGTACCTACATTTGCTGGAACGAGAATCTGTTTATCCATGTCTCATGAATGGGGGGCGTGTAATCTCCCTGCCACCAATTACTAATAGTGACTCTACGAAGGTTAGCTCCATTCCAGTTGTAGTAACCTAATAGTTCAGTCTCTTGGCAGTTTTGTGTGTGTGTTCTACTCTCTTTTGGTTGAAATAAGATGATAGTATGAACGTTAACATGTATGGTTGGCTGTTTCTCACATGTGCATGTCACAAATACTGAACTTATGCAGTTTCTCATGTCAGTAACACATTCCATTTTTTGAAGACGAAAGAAAAAGTTTCCTTACAACAGAAATATCTCCTATGTTGTATGACTTCTGTAAAGTTTTTTGTTCAGTATTTTCGTTGCTTTGATAGGAGTTTCCCTTCCTGCAGGAAGAAAGAGTTATTAATATATCAGAATTAACATGTGTATGTTTATGAAGTGGATAACAGAAGGAACCTTATTATTGAAAAATATTTTCATTCTTCACTATTAATTGCAAATGCTCTGTTTGATTGTGTATTTTCAACTGATGAAGTTTTGCTACTTTTAAATTGCTAGAGCAAACTTTGTAGCCCATTGAATTGTGTCATGGCAGTTCTTTGAATTGTCCAACATAAAATCAGTCAGGCCTTATAATGTATAAAACTGCTAAATGCTTTTTAAGTGATTTCTGTAGCATTTTGAATCAATTTCATGCTGCAACTTGTCTACTACTGAATTAATACATTAAATTACAGACTTTCTCATACAAGGTGCATCAGAAAGAATGGATGGATTTTTATCTTATTGCCCTGTGAAATCCATCCATTCTTTCTGATGCATCCTGTATGTAAGCTATGCTTATAGATCTTTAAATTACAGGATACTGTGATTGTCCAGTGTAGATTTAATGACGCTCTACCTAAAATTTATTTTTAAGTAATAGCTTTGTTTCTGTCTTTATAGATTTCTGAAAATACTAAGTCCATATTTGTGGAGGTGACAAGTGCAACATCACAGAGTGTGTGCCGACATGTACTGGATGCCTTGCTGCATGAAACACTACTGCTTGGAATCAGCTCCAGTGAGCCCCCAAGTGAGGGTACCACTTTGCAATCAGCACACCACACTCTAACAGTACAACAAGTCAAAGTTGTTGATAAAGCAGGTAATCTTAAAGTTGTGTACCCATCCAGGAGTGATCTGAATTTTGAAGATAACACCATATCAGTTATCCGGGAATGAGGAGTGGTGTGAACGTGATACTATTTGCAGTCTCATTGCTGTGATGTAAGGTGTGATAATCACTTTTCTTATTTATGTACTGTTTTATCACTTTAAAAGTTGGCACCCACAAGTTATGAGAGTATGATTATAAACGAGTATTCATTTATGTGGCTAAATTTTCCATCTTGTCTCCTTCGAATACTCCACATAGGAGTTAGTACACCAAACCCCATTATTCTGCCACTGTTGGAAGAAATTCTGAAATTCTTCATTTGTGATACACCCATTTAAATTTTTCTATATGTCCAAAACATTTATTCAGCGTTTCTTTATTTATCTTTCGGAACAGGATGAAATCACAGAGCAAAGTTCAGAGACCAGGGGGAGGCAGGTAACTGCAGCCATTTTTATTTGTTGTCATGAGCCATTGAGCAGGTGAATTTTCATGATGAACCAGTTAATCTTCATTTAGCAGTTTCTCCATAGACATTGCAGCACAGCTGTATAATAATTGATGATGAATTCGTGATCCACATCCCCATCAGGATCAGACAAAATGGTTATCATGCTCTTTGACTTTTTTTTTAATCTGAGCTTCTTTGGACATGGTGAGGTTTCCATCATGATGACTGCTGTTTTGTTTCTGATTGTACCCATAAACCTAGGTTTCATAATTTTTACTGACCTTTGGCAAGAAATGTGCACTATCTTAAATATGTGTTTCAAGATTATGACATACATAAGACACTTATCCTTTCCTTCACGCAATAACAGACAAGGAACAAATCTGGTATGATAAAATGCATCGACAGTTTCTGTAAGAAGGAATAATCTTTTTGCACAAATCAAGAATAGTAAGAGACTTGTCCTAATGAACCAATACTCTGACTCTTTCAGAATTTTCATTCATTTTGCTTGTGTGTGGCTGTTCACAGCATTCTTTGTCTGCATGGAAATTTGTCCACTTTTAATGTTTTCAGAATCTGTTTCACAGGCTTGAAACAGAACCCACTGTTCCATTGATTTTCTCATTTAAAGAAATACTAGTCCTGATGTAGTGTACATATTTTCATGAAACAGCATGATGTAATGTGACACGCAGAATACAGAATGATGTATGCAAAGTAAACTACTCAGGAAAATATAGTTTGTTACCACCTTGCTTGAAAAAGTCATATATATATATGCAGTTATCAATGGAATCAGTCTTGTAACTTCTGGATAATAAGATACAATAGTTTGTAGTGGTATATTAATACAATTGCTGTGTTTTTGGATGATGGATAATGTTCAGAAACACAATAATTGTATTAACATCTGGATAAGTTTGGCTCTGGAAAGTAATAATGAGTCATAATTCGCAATTGAAAGTGGAAACTGTAAATAGTGAGAGAGAATTACTGAAGATTTACTTGGGTTCCCTTCCGAGTGCCACTGTAAAGCCTGTACACATTGCTACCACTTTGCTGTCATTTTGTTCCCTTCTGTAATATCGTCTTGGAATGTGAATAACTATAAATGTAGATTTTATTCTTTGGGGAGAGGGGAGTGTTCAGAATTGTGTTCGTAATTTGTTGCAAGAGTCCAGTTTTATTACTGCCAGTTAATACTGACGATAATTTATCTGAAACTGCATTTTCATCAACATTAACAAGTATTTTAACAAGGTTTTACAAAAGTGTGTGCGTAATTTATTCCAAGATGTTTGTTCCAGTCCAAAAATTAAAATTAAGTCCGCTGATGATGTGTATAAAACTCGTTAATTTTAAGCTTAACGAGTAAAATGGGATCTTGTAATTATCTTCCTAGTAACAGTGTAATCATTGCTCTCTTATATCCTAAGCGTCAGTTATATACTGGCATATTTTCTAATCACAGAAATTTCTCATTTACATGTTCTATATTTTTCTTCCCTTCACCATATTTTCCTTGTGTTCTTATTAGTGTTTTCCATACTATTTGGTCTGCCTAAGGCACCATTGAACAAAATGTTATTTTGTTATTACATTAATTTATAAGTTTCCTTTTTGTTATATACCAGTACTGTATTCATAATTGTGATTACTCCTGTCAGGCATATAGTTCATTGTTCGTGCATTATTTTAAATATCCTTTGTAACATTATGAGAGGGTATTTTGTTATTTTTACATACTTTTGTTTCAATTTTTGTATGAGGATATGTGCTTCATTGTTCTGGACTGGATGGCTATGGTCCTCCATATCACTTCCCAAATCATCTTGGGGGAGGCCTACTGAGCTTCCTCCCCAGTGGGTACTGGGGCTGTTTCCATAGAGTAAAAGCATCTGAAGAGTAAAGATGACCATTCATCTCCATCTTGAAGGTCTGTAATACGAGGGGGGACCCAAAAATAACCGGAAACGACCTGTTGCGCGCGCATGCTTTGTAGTTACGAGTTGTGCTGCTAGGTGGTGTTAGCTGGGGGTCTCCCGCGAATGTTAGTGAGCTGGCGTCAGTCTGAGTTAAGTGGTTTGTCTGTGGTGCTCTGTTGTGTGCGTTCCTGTTTCAACCCTTTGGCGATTAGTGAGATGGCCGACCAGAAGGAACAAAGAGTGTG